TCTTTTTGCAGTCGAAAGACCAGTGGTCCTTCTTCTTGCAGGAGCGACACGGGCCTGGCGGTGGATGCTGGGCCCTTGTAGGGGCATTGTGCGACGCGGTGAGAAGAGCTGCGACAGGCGAGGCACTTGGTACGGGTAGAACGTGGCGACGACGAGGCAAGGAGGGCCGATTGATCGTTGGAGAGGTTCGTTGACCGGAGTTGAACTCGCATACGGTCGGCCACTGAATCGATGTCAGGGAGAGTTCGTTGCGTGCGTTGTTCGTCGGTGAACGTTGCCTTGAAGCTCTCGAGTGACGGGTGGGCGATCGAGGAGGAGTGTGGCAAGGACGTCGTTGATTCGTCGTTTTCGTATCGATGATCTCTTGCGCGACGACTTGAAGTCCATGATCCAACTGTCAAATTCGCCAACCGTTCCGGGCATGGGTCGAAGCCCCAGAGTCGCGAGAAGAGCTCGAGCGTGCGAGTGGCGTCATCAGGGGCGTATCGCGATTTCAGCGTCGAGTAAATCTGGCGCTGTGAGGTCGGCCGTAGGGATCTTGTCGAGGACTGCCGAGACTTCGGCCGAGTCGATTGAGTTTGCAAGGATCTCGCGTGCCACGACGTCGCGGGCGGAGCGTTGCGAAGGCGTCCAATCGTCGGGGTGATTCCGTCGAGGACGTAGGAGCGGATGTCGTCCGCTAGGCACAGGCGAAGCTGGCGTGTCCAGTTCGCGAACGTCTTCGGCCCGTCCAACGCGCATGCTTCGGGAAGGCATTGCGATTGGAGCCGGATGTCGTGGCGGGTGCGGTAGTGCCGGAAGCGGCAGCGGTGAGTCCCGACAGCAGCGATGTAAGTGCGGCAAGCTGTTCGGCGGGAATTGTCGGGTGGCGCTCGTCGCGAGGGTTGACGACGTGTCCATGCCAGCGGTAGCTCGATGGGCTTATAACCTATGAGATGATCACACTACTGTCAGGAGAAGTCGAGAGTCGAACAGAAGTGATCTATTTCAGCGTACCTATGAGATGATCACCACTACTGTCAGGAGAAGTCGAGAGTCGAACAGAAGTGATGAGAAGGAAGCTAAGAAATGGAAAGGGGGCCCGCGCTGGGATATGCCCAGGCGCGGCGAAATCGCTGGAGCGCTGAGGCAGTCGCGCGGCTAAGTCCCCACTGCAAGGGCGGGCTAGCGGCGCGCGCCCGAAAACCGCCGGCGCCGCGCGCTGAGGCACTCGCGCGCGCCTAAGTCCCCACCACAGGGGCCAGGCTAGCAGGCGCGCGCAACGACCGAGGCGCCCCTGTCGAGCTGAGAGTGGACTCTTCACAGATTTTGCCCTCGGGCCCCAACACGACGATTGCGAGGCAGGCTCTCCCGGATACTACGCGCTCAAGGAGGAATCGCAAGACGAGGACGTGAATGGACAGGAATTAGGGAATTTGTTCTTGAAGGAAGAATGCCACGAGTTCATTACACCCGGTGAGAGCCTCCTCGAGGAACGTCCTTACACCTCACCTTCGCACGATTGGTTGCCCCCTGTTGATTGCGCCTTCGGGCCCTGGGGTCACGGTTACGACGCAGGCTCTCCCGGTTCCCTTCATCTGGCCGAGAACATTATGGACGCCGTCGATTGGTCTATCGCCGCCTCTCTCCTCCCATCGCTGTCAATCGAGTTCACGCTATTGCTACGGCCCCTGCCAACGACCCGCCCATTCCGGTCCATGCCGACGCCGACGAACTCGATTTGTTGGGAGTTGCCACCGATGATGTCAACGACACCCCTGTAGTCCATCGGCCGCCTGATCCACTGCCCCAACCCTTCCTCGACACCGTCATCCGAGCATACGCCAATGATTCGCAAGCCCAGGTCATCATTACCGACCCGCTATCATGGCCTATGTTTCGGGTGACCGAGGAAGGGAGGATTTTGCGTGTACATCCAGATGAGTCTATTTCCTTGTTTGTGCCTCGTGGTCTCGCTACTGGCGTCGTCAACTCCGACAAGGTCCCATCGCTGCGTGAGCTCGTGCTTTCGGAGATTCATCGGAGTGTCGGGTGTGAGGAATCCACTCTCCGCTCGGCTCAGGACTTAGGCGCGCGGAGCGAACCGGGCGCGGACTTAGGCGCGCGGAGTGAGCCGGGCGCCCCGGCCCAGGACTTAGGCGCGCGAAGCGAGCCTGGGACTTAGGCGCGCGGAGCGAGCCTGGGCCATTGGCTCAGCCCCAGGCTCGCTGGCTGTGGACTTGGGGCGCGCGGGTCTCTTATTGTTAGCTTCCTATTCATCACTCTTGGCTATAACTACATCGCTGACGTAGTAGAGTTGATCGAATAGGTATGTTGAAATGCATTCATCACTCTTGGCTATAACTACATCGCTGACGTAGTAGAGTTGATCGAATAGGTTATAAGCCCACGAGCTACCAGCCCCGCCGCTTGAGGCTTTTTCGCTCGAGCCCAGCCACTCGAGCCGCACACGTCCATCGCACCATCACATCATGGACAGCTCTCCCGCCTCGCCTTTGGCCCCCAGGGATCCCAGCTCCCCTGAATCTTCGATCGGCGAACAAATCGCCACTCTACAGGCCCAGCTTGCCGCTCTGCAGGCCTCGCAACCCGCCGCCGCCGCAGCCGCCGCACCCCCGGCCGTCACCGTCGTGCCGGGGAACGCCGCCACCGCATCCAAGGTCGTGTTTCCCAAGCACGCTCGTCTGGACGGCCCCAAGTCGTTCACCAACTGGTTGCGTCAACTCCGTCTTGCACTCCCGAACCAGGTTCGTGGTTACGTTCTCGACGGTGTCGTTCCCCCGACCTGGACCGCCGACCAGCTTGCCGCACGTGACGACGCCGCCCGGGAAATCATCGTTGGCTCTATCGACTCCGCCGACGTATCGGCCACCCTCGACGCCATCCCCAGCGACGACCTGTCGGCACCGCGCATCTTTGCCGCTCTCAAGGCTCGTTTTGCACCGGACGACGCTACACGCACTCTCGAGTTGTTCGCTCGCCTTTGGGACTTCAGGAAGATGCCTGCCTCCGTCGAGGCCTACGACACTTGGCTACGCGAGTACATGTCGATTGCTCAGGAAATACGCGACGCCAAAACATCGCTCAACGACGTGCTCGCCACCCACGTGCTCGCCATGGTCCCGTCTTGCCTCGACAGCTTCCGACTCACGTTCACGGACGAGCAGCGAAACCGACGCGACCTTCCCGAACTCACGACGCTTACGGACCGCATTCGCATCCAGCTTCGTTCGGCAGGACTCTCGACCTCGCATTCGGCCATGCTTGCCACCAGCTCCCCCTGCCCCGCCTGCCGCGCTCCCGGTCACGCCTGCGCGACTGCACTTCACGTGCGAAGCACCCGCCCACCGGCCCCTGCCGCCGATGCCACAAGAAAGGTCACTGGGCACTCGACTGCAAGAACCGGGGTGAACAGGCACGTAGCAGCGACGACACCCAGGACGACACGTCTTCCTCCGCGGCCTCGCAACCGAACGTCGGCTATTTCGCCTCCTGTCTCTTCGCTCGTCGCCAACTCCCAACTGACGCCTTTGTAGTCGATTCGGGTGCCACGACACACATGGTCGCCGACCGATCTCTATTCACGACTTATCGTCAGACGGCACACACCAAGATCGGCGGCATCGCGGGCGGCATCACGGCTATCGGCATGGGGGACGTGGCATTCGTCGCCAAGACTGGACACCCGATCACGCTCCGTGGTGTTCTTCACACGCCTGGCCTACACGTCAACCTCCTCTCTGTCTCTCGCCTCTGCGACACCGACCGCGTTCGTCTCGCCTTCACCAGCGACGGCATCGACATCGCCAAGGACGGCCGGGCCATTGCTCACGGTACCAGGGTCAACGACGGTCTTTACCTTTTGGACGCGGATCACACCAAGTGTCAGCATCTTGCCTTCCTCTCACGCTCTGAGTCTCCCGTGCCCCTGCTTACCCTACACCGCTGCCTCGGCCATCTTGCCCCATCCTCTATACAGAAGATGATTGCTGCAGGTTTGCTGGACGGGTTTGGGTACGACAAAGACGTATGAGTTTGTTTGCAATGCTTGCTTCCAAAGGTTGAACTTTTTTTTTGAGGCACTTGAGAACTTGTGCACACACAGCGGTCCTGTCGTTCCCCACTCCGTCCCTTGACCGGGAAGCGCTACCTTGTCACGTTTCTAGACGACCACTCTCGCAAACTCTGGGCATATGCGATCGATCACAAAAAGCGATGTTTTCCCGACCTTCCAGACTTGGCTCGCCGAAGTGGAGTTAGAGACGAACGCGCGGTTGAGGATCCTTCGAACCGACAATGGCGGGGAGTACCGATCAAACGCATTCACGGAGTTCTGCAAATCCAAGGGCATTCGTCGTCAATACTCTATCCCTTACACGCCTCAACAAAACGGTCGCGCCGAACGTGTCAACCTCTCCATCGTCGAGGGCGTCCTCGCTCTCCTTGCGGACGCCCGTCTGCCGGCCACCTTTTGGGATGAAGCGGCTGCGTATTTCGTTTATTGCAAAAACAGGTGCTCACACTCAGCTTTGGCCAAACAGACTCCAGAATCCGTTTGGAACGGCCAACGCACCACCGCCACCGCCCTCCACCCGTTCGGCTGCACAGCCTGGCTCACGGTCGCCCCGGACCTTCGCAGCAAGCTCGACCCCAAGGCCGCGCGCGTGATCTTCACAGGTTACGACCTCGCCTCCAAAGCTTTCCGTTTCTTTGACCATTCCATCAACAAGATTGTACTTGGTCGCAATGCCACCTTCCTCGACGACGACTTCCCCGGCCTGCCAGTCACCACGCCCGTCGATGCAGACGACACCGACCGTCAGTTCGTCGTTCCCGCCGACACGCCCGCCCCTGCCGTCAAGACGAGGACCCCACTAGTAAGGTCGGCGCACATGGACGTCTCATCCTCCCTTGATGATTCTGCCATGAGCGCCGTGACGTGGCCCCAGGGTACACTGGCGGAACCTTACTTAATTCCACAGATACCGGAATCGTCCTCGTCACTGTCTCCTGAGCCGTCCTCGTCACCGTCGCCCACAAACCCTTTGTCACCGTCGCCTGCGCTGTCACCGTCGTTGGCAGCGTCATCGTCACCCTCGGTCTCACCGACCGACTCTGACTACTCCGCCGACCCTCTGGACCTCATCGGCTCACAGACCCCGACTCGCCTTGGCCCACCGGACGTGCACCGCCCAGACTTCAGCACGTACCGTGAGCCCGCATCGGCTGAGGAGTCGCCCGACGAACTCGACATCATTGGGCGTCACTCGCGCGATGAATCGCCGGGATGAAATCGATTTCCTCACCCACACCACCGCGCCTTCATCGCCACAGACGACGACGACCCCACCCTCGACGCCATCGAGCCCGTCAAATCGATCACTAGCGACCCCCAGACCTGGCGCGAAGCAATGTCCAGCGACGAGCACAACATCTGGGCTGAGGCCGCCGCCGCCGAGTTCACCGCCATGCGCGACGACTTCAAGGTGTTCACCATCGAGCCTCGCTCATCTGTACCGCCGGGCGCCACCATCGTCACCTCCAAATTCGTCTGGAAGACCAAGCGCAACGCAAGCGGTGAAGTCACGGGGCGGAAGGCACGTCTTGTAGCGCAGGGTAACGACAGCGCGACGGCATCGACTTCTCAGAAACCTTCGCCCGTCGCCCGTTTCTCCTCCATTCGCTGCCTCCTGGCTCTTGCCGCTGCCAATGGCTACCACGTTCATCAGGCCGACATCGACAAGGCTTACCTCCACGGCGAGCTCGATCATGATATCTGGATGACGACACCACGCGGTTTCGACTTCCCGAGCGATAAGGTTCTCCGGCTGCGACGCTCAATCTACGGTCTCAAGCAGGCCGGTCGCATCTGGAATCGTCACATTGACACATCACTCAGGAATCTGGGGTACAAGGCAACAGGCACTGATCACTGCATTTACTCTCGCATTGACGATCAGCAGCGGCCTCACTATATCGCCTTGTATGTCGACGACCTCCTCATTGTCAGTCCAGCCCTCGACGAGATCGAACGTGTCATCTCCGGCCTTGAACAGCGGTACGGCGTCAAACGACTCGGCCCCGCGGAGTACATCCTCGGAATCCAAATACGCCGCCTGGACGACGGTTCCATTGCTCTATCCCAGGAGCGCTACATCATGGACGTGCTGGCCCGTTTCCACTTCGACACCACGACACGCGGCACTACGGTGCCGATGACGCCCGGCCTCTCGCTCACGGCAATTCCGGGTCAGGGAACGGAGCGCATTCGTTCGTGGTACCTACAGGCCATCGGCTCCCTCCTCTACATCTCCCTTGGCACTCGACCCGACATTGCCTTCGCCGTCTCGTACCTGTCCCGGTTCGCCAACAACCCCGGCCGCCGCCATTGGATTGCCGTCAAACACGTCCTTCGCTACCTTCGCGCCACGTACCGCGATGAGCTTCTCTATGCCCGCGGCCCAGCAAAAGTCACGGGTGTGGTTGGTTATTCTGATGCGAACTGGGGCGCCTGCGTCGACACATCCATTTCAACGATGGGCTACGTATTTTACTTGGCAGGCGCCGCTGTCTCTTGGTCGTCGAAGCGTCAGACTCGGGTAGCGGATTCCACCACTGATGCCGAGTACCTGGCCTTGTCGCACGCGGGTAAGGAAGCGATCTACCTTAACCAACTCCTCTCCGAGCTCCACGTTTGCCCAATCGCTGCAGCTCACATCTTCACCGACAACGAGGCCGCGGCCGCCGTCGCTCACGACCCCGTTCGCACCTCCGGCACCCGGCACATTCGCCTCCGCGAGCATTTTGTCCGTGACATGGTCAATCGAGGTGATATCTCTCTCTCACACGTTGGCACAGCAGACATGGTTGCGGACGTATTCACCAAAGCGCTAGGCCCCAAGATTTTTGGTACACATTGCTATGCTCTAGGCCTCCGGACGCGACATCCACGGCTCAAGTCTACCTCGCGTTCGCGTGGGGGGGGGTGTGAGGAATCCACTCTCCGCTCGGCTCAGGACTTAGGTATGAGACGTTCACCACTACTGTCAGGAGAGGTTGAGAGTCGAACAGAAGTGATCTATTTCAGCGTACCTATGAGACGTTCACCACTACTGTCAGGAGAGGTTGAGAGTCGAACAGAAGTGATGAGAAGGAAGCTAAGAAACAGAAAGGGGGGGGCCACGCTGGGATAGTCCCAGGCGCGTGACAATGTACATCCCTAAGTCAGCCGCGGGTGAAATCGCCGGCGCGCCTAAGTCCCCACCGCAAGGGGGCGGGCTAGCGGGCGCGCGCATGAATCCGCCGGCGCTGGCGCGCTGAGGCAGTCGCGCGCGTCTAAGTCCCCACCGCCGGGGGCGGGCTAGCAAGTGCGCGCAACGACCGAGGCGCCCCTGTCGAGCTGAGAGTGGACTCTTCACACCCCCCCCACGCGAATGCGAGGCAGACCCAAGCCGCGGGTGTCGAGTGCGAAGGCCGAGGGCGTAGCAGTGCGTTGAGAAGACCTTTGGGCCGAGAGCCTTGGTGAAGATGTCGGCCACCATGTCGCTGGTACCCACATGCGAGAGAGAGATGTCGCCCCGATTCACCATGTCCCGAACGAAGTGCTCACGCAAGCGTATGTGCCGAGTGCCAGAGACGCGGACAGGATCGTGAGCAACTGCAGCAGCGGCTTCGTTGTCAGTAAAGATGTGAGCCGGTGCAACAGGTTGTACATGGAGCTCTTCGAGCAGCTGACTGAGGTAAATCCCTTCCTTGCCAGCATGCGAGAGGGCGAGGTATTCAGCGTCGGTGGTCGAATCGGCAACTCGAGACTGGCGTTTGGACGACCAGGACACGGCCGAGCCAGCGATGTAGAAGACGTAGCCCATGGTGGACACCGATGTGTCGATGCAGGCCCCCCAGTTCGCGTCGGAGTAGCCTACCACACCCGTGATGCGAGCCTGGCCGCGAGCATACACGAGTTCGTTGCGATACGTGGCCCGGAGATAGCGTAGGATGTGCTTGACCGCAATCCAATGACGACGACCGGGGTTGTTGGCGAAGCGGGCCAGGTAGGACACGGCGAAGGCGATGTCAGGGCGGGTACCGAGCGAAATGTAGAGGAGCGAGCCGATAGCCTGCAGATACCATGACCTGATCCGTTCGGTGCCTTGACCCGGGATAGCAGTGAGCGAAAGGCCGGGAGTCATCGGAACTGTAGTGCCGCGAGTCGTGGTGTCGAAGTGGAACCGAGCGAGCACGTCCATGATGTACCGTTCCTGGGATAGGGCGATAGAGCCGTCGTCGAACCGCCTGATCTGGATGCCGAGGATATACTCGGCCGGGCCGAGGCGCTTGACTCCGTAGCGTTGGTCCAGGCCTGAGATGACACGTTCGATTTCGGCCAGTTCCGGGCTGATCATCAGGAGGTCGTCGACGTACAGTGCGATGTAGTGTGGACATTGACGATCATCGAGCCAAGAGTATACGCAGTGGTCGGTGCCCGTCGCCGTGTAACCGAGGGCCCGAAGCGAAGCGTCGATGTGTCGATTCCAGATTCGGCCAGCCTGTTTGAGCCCGTAGATGGAGCGTCGCAGGCGAAGCACCTTGTCGCTGGGAAGGTCGAAGCCGCGCGGTGCCGTCATCCAGATGTCGTGGTCAAGGTCGCCATGCAGATATGCTTTGTCGATGTCCGCCTGGTGCACGTGCAAGCCGTTGGCGGCCGCCAGCGCGAGGAGTGAGCGTATCGAGGAGAAGCGTGCGACCGGTGCGAACGTTTCGTTGAAGTCGATGCCGTCGCGTTGCCGATTGCCTTGCGCGACCAGCCTTGCCTTGTGTCCAGTGACTTCGCCGAGTGCGTTCCGTTTCGTTTTCCAGACGAACTTGGATGTAACGATAGTCGCACCCGCGGGCACCGTGGCTCGGTCCTCGATGGTGAAGACCTTGAAGTCGTCGCGCATGGAGGTGAACTCGTCGGTGGCGGCTTTGGCCCATACTTCACGCTTGTCGCTAGACATCGCCTCGCGCCAGGTCTGTGGGTCGCTCGTGATGGACTTGACTGGCTGAATTGCCTCTGTGTCAGAGGTGTCGTCGTCGATGGCGATGAAGGCGCGGTGGTGTCGGGTGAGGAAATCGATTTCGTCCGGAGATTCGTCGCGAGAGTGGCGCCCAATGAGGTCGAGTTCGTCGGGCGACTCCTCAGCCGATGCGGGCTCGCGGTACGTGCTGAAGTCTGGGTGGTGCACGTCCTGTAGATCGAGGCGAACCTGGGGCTGTGAGCCGAGGAGGTCGAGGGGATCGGCGGAGTCTTCAGAGTCGGTCGGTAAGGCCGAGGGTGACGATGACGCAGCCGACGATGGTGAAAGTGCAGGCGATGGCGCAGACGACGGTGATGAGGGCGACGCAGGCGACGGTGACGAGGACGATTCGGCATCTGTGAAGTTAAGTAAGGTTCCGCCAGTGTACCCTGGGGCCACGTCAACGGCGCTCATGGCAGAATCATCAAGGGGGGATGAGACGTCCATGTGCGCCGACCTTACTAGTGGGGTCCATGTCTTGACAACGGTTTGAGATTCGGTGGTGGGAGCGCTGGCGAAGTGCGTGTCGCCGTCTTGCTCAGTGGGGTCGCCATGTAATCCGGGGAATTCAGTGTCGAGGAACGTGGCATTTCTGCCAAGTATAATCTTCTGTGTTGTAGTGTCGTAGAAGCGAAAGGCTTTTGAAGCCAGGTCGTAGCCGGTGAAAAAAACGCGAACCGCCTTCGGGTCGAGTTTGGAGCGAAGTTCGGGCGCGACCGTAAGCCAAGCTGTACAGCCGAACGGGTGAAGCGCCGAGGCAGTGGTGTGGTCACCCTGCCAGACGGAGTTTGGTGTTGCCTTGTCCAGGGCCGCGTGTTGACACAGGTTCTTGCAGTAAACGAAATAAGCTGCAGCCTCCTCCCAGAATGTCTTGGGTAGGTGGGCGTCGACAAGGAGGGCAAGGACGCCTTCGACAATGGAACGATTGACCCGCTCTGCACGACCGTTCTGTTGAGGCGTGCGTGGGATAGAGTATTGTCGACGGGTGCCTCGTGTCTTGCAGAACTCTGTGAACGCTCTCGAACAGTATTCGCCACCGTTGTCGGTTCGGAGGACCTTCAGCGTCGCACCCGTCTCGAGTTCAACCTCGGCTAGCCAAGTTTTGAATATGCCGAAGACTTCGCTTTTGTGTCCGATTGCGTAGGCCCAGAGTTTGCGCGAGTAATCGTCAAGGAATGTGACCAGGTAACGTTTGCCAGTCAAGGACCGCTCGGGGAAGGAAAGCACATCGCTGTGTACAAGGCCGAGTCTCTCTGAGGAGTGCGAATCCGAATCGGGAAAGGGAAGACGATGGCCCTTTGCGCTGAGGCAAGCATTGCAGACAAACTTCTCTACCTCTTCGTCACTATATCCGGCCCTGAGACCCTCCAGCAAACCAGCGGCAACCATCTTCTGTATGGAGGACGGTGCGAGATGGCCGAGGCAGCGATGGAGAGTCAGCAGGGGCACGGACGACTGTGAGCGAGAAAGGAGAGCAAGGTGCTGACATTTGGAATGATCAGCGTCCAGCAAGTAGAGCCCTTCGTCGAGTCGTGCGCCTTCAGCGATGTCGTTGCCGTCCTTGTCAATGTGGATGCCGTGTTTTGTGAAGGCGACACGGACATCGTCGGTGTCGCAAAGTCGAGAGACCGAGAGAAGATTGACAAACAGGCCCGGAGTGTGCAGCACGCCGGTAAGCGTGATCGGATGACCCGAGGCGGCAATGAAGGCGATGTTTCCCGTTCCGATGGCGTTGATGCCCCCTGCAATACCACCAATCTTCGTAGGAGCGATATGGCGATAGGTCGTGAACAGCGACTTGTCCGAGACCATGTGCGAAGTGGCGCCCGAGTCGACGACAAAAGAGTGGTTGCGAAGCTGGCGACGACGAGCGAGAAGACCGGTGGCGAGACATCCGACATGGTGTTGCGAGTCGACGGTCGAGTCAGCGGTGTCGGGCTTTTTGCCGTCCTCGAGCGCCTTCTTGCAGTCGAGAGACCAGTGATCCTTCTTCTTGCAGGAGCGACAGGGTCCTGGCGGCGGGTGTTGCGCCCTCGTAGGGCACTCCGCGACTCGGTGCGAAGGGCTGCGACAGGCGAGACACTTGAGACGAGTAGAACGTGACGACGACGAGGCAAGAAGGGCCGATTGAGTGCTGGGGATGTTCGTTGACCGAAGTTGGACTCGCATACGGTCGGCAAGCGAATCAATGTCGGGGAGAGTTCGTTGCGTGCGCTGTTCATCGGTGAACGACGCCTTGAAGCTCTCGAGGGACGGGTGGGCGATTGCAAGGAGGAGTGTGGCGAGAACATCATTGATAGTTGTCTTTGTGTCGATGATCTCTTGCGCAACGGCTTTGAAGTCCATGATCCACCCGTCGAATTCGGCAACCGTGCCGGGCATGGGACGGAAACCCCAGAGTCGTGAGAAGAGCTCGAGCGTGCGGGTGGCGTCGTCAGGGGCGTACCGCGATTTCAGCGTCGAGTAGATTGTCGGCGCTGTCAGGTCGGCGGTAGGGATTTTGTCGAGGACTGCCGAGACTTCGGCCGAGTCAATCGAATTCGCAAGGACCTCACGAGCGACGGCGTCGCGAGCGGAGCGTTGCGAAGGTGTCCAGTCGTCGGGTGCGATACCGTCGAGGACGTACGAGCGGATGTCGTCCGCTAGGCACAGGCGAAGTTGGCGTGTCCAGTTCGCGAAGGTCTTCGCACCATCCAAGCGTGCGTGCTTTGGAAAGGCAGTGCGAGTGGTGCCGGACGTCGTGGCGGGTGTGGCAGTGCCGGAAGCGGCAGCGGTGAGACCCGACAGCAGCGATGTAAGTGCGGCGAGCTGTTCGGCGGGAATCGGAGGGTTGGCACCCGTCGCGAGGGGTGGTGTCGTGGTCATGCCAGCTGGTGGCTCGTGGGCTTATAACCTATGAGACGTTCACCACTACTGTCAGGAGAGGTTGAGAGTCGAACAGAAGTGATCTATTTCAGCGTACCTATGAGACGTTCACCACTACTGTCAGGAGAGGTTGAGAGTCGAACAGAAGTGATGAGAAGGAAGCTAAGAAACAGAAAGGGGGGGGCCACGCTGGGATAGTCCCAGGCGCGTGACAATGTACATCCCTAAGTCAGCCGCGGGTGAAATCGCCGGCGCGCCTAAGTCCCCACCGCAAGGGGGCGGGCTAGCGGGCGCGCGCATGAATCCGCCGGCGCTGGCGCGCTGAGGCAGTCGCGCGCGTCTAAGTCCCCACCGCCGGGGGCGGGCTAGCAAGTGCGCGCAACGACCGAGGCGCCCCTGTCGAGCTGAGAGTGGACTCTTCACATTAGGCGCGCGGAGCGAACCGGGCGCGGACTTAGGCGCGCGGAGTGAGCCGGGCGCCCCGGCCCAGGACTTAGGCGCGCGAAGCGAGCCTGGGACTTAGGCGCGCGGAGCGAGCCTGGGCCATTGGCTCAGCCCCAGGCTCGCTGGCTGTGGACTTGGGGCGCGCGGGTCTCTTATTGTTAGCTTCCTATTCATCACTCTTGGCTATAACTACATCGCTGACGTAGTAGAGTTGATCGAATAGGTATGTTGAAATGCATTGATCACTCTTGGCTATAACTACATCGCTGACGTAGTAGAGTTGATCGAATACCTGTTGATTGCGCCTTCGGGCCCTGGGGTCACGGTTACGACGCAGGCTCTCCCGGTTCCCCTCATCTGGCCGAGAACATTATGGACGCCGTCGATTGGTCTATCGGCCGCCTCTCTCCTCCCATCGCTGTCAATCGAGTTCACGCTATTGCTACGGCCCCTGCCAACGACCCGCCCATTCCGGTCCATGCCGACGCCGACGAACTCGATTTGTTGGGAGTTGCCACCGATGATGTCAACGACACCCCTGTAGTCCATCGGCCGCCTGATCCACTGCCCCAACCCTTCCTCGACACCGTCATCCGAGCATACGCCAACGATTCGCAAGCCCAGGTCATCATTATGAGATGATCACCACTACTGTCAGGAGAAGTCGAGAGTCGAACAGAAGTGATCTATTTCAGCGTACCTATGAGATGATCACCACTACTGTCAGGAGAAGTCGAGAGTCGAACAGAAGTGATGAGAAGGAAGCTAAGAAATGGAAAGGGGGGCCCGCGCTGGGATATGCCCAGGCGCGGGCGAAATCGCTGGAGCGCTGAGGCAGTCGCGCGCGGCTAAGTCCCCACTGCAAGGGCGGGCTAGCGGCGCGCGCCCGAAAACCGCCGGCGCCGGCGCGCTGAGGCACTCGCGCGCGCCTAAGTCCCCACCACAGGGGCCAGGCTAGCAGGCGCGCGCAACGACCGAGGCGCCCCTGTCGAGCTGAGAGTGGACTCTTCACACCCCCCCCCACGCGAATGCGAGGCAGATCCAAGCCGTGGGTGTCGAGTGCGAAGGCCTAGTGCGTAGCAGTGTGTCGAGAAAATCTTTGGGCCAAGAGCCTTTGTGAAGATGTCGGCCACCATGTTGCTGGTTCCCACATGCGAGAGTGAGATATCGCCCCGATTCACCATGTCCCGAACAAAGTGCTCGCGCAAGCGTATGTGTCGAGTGCCGGAGACGCGGACAGGGTCGTGGGCAACTGCGGCAGCGGCTTCATTGTCAGTAAAAATGTGAGCCGGTGCAACAGGTTGGACATGGAGCTCCTCGAGCAGCTGACTGAGGTAGATCCCTTCCTTGCCAGCATGCGAGAGGGCGAGGTATTCAGCGTCGGTGGTAGAATCGGCAACTCGAGATTGACGCTTGGACGACCAAGACACGGCGGATCCGGCAATGTAGAAGACGTAGCCCATAGTGGACACCGACGTATCGACGCAGGCCCCCCAGTTCGCGTCGGAGTAGCCAACCACGCCCGTGATGCGTGTCTCGCCGCAAGCATAAACCAGTTCGTCGCGATATGTGGCCCGGAGATAGCGGAGGATGTGCTTGACCGCGATCCAGTGACGACGTCCAGGGTTGTTGGCGAAGCGGGCCAGGTAGGACACGGCGAAGGCGATGTCGGGGCGGGTGCCGAGCGAAATGTAGAGGAGCGAGCCGATAGCCTGCAGATACCATGACCTGATCCGTTCGGTGCCTTGACCCGGGATGGCGGTGAGCGAAAGGCCGGGGGTCATCGGGACTGTAGTGCCGCGAGTCGTGGTGTCGAAGTGGAACCGAGCAAGCACGTCCATGATGTACCGTTCCTGGGACAGGGCAATAGAACCGTCTTCGAGTCGCCTGATCTGGATGCCGAGGATGTACTCTGCCGGGCCGAGGCGCTTGACGCCGTAGCGTTGTTCGAGGCCCGAGATGACACGTTCAATTTCGGCCAAGTCGGGGCTGATCATCAGGAGGTCGTCGACGTACAGCGCGATGTAGTGTGGGCGTCGCCGATCGTCGATCCGAGAGTACACGCAGTGGTCGGTGCCCGTCGCCGTATAGCCGAGATCTCGAAGCGATGCGTCGATGTGTCGATTCCAGATTCGGCCAGCCTGTTTGAGTCCGTAGATGGAGCGTCGCAGACGAAGCACCTTGTCGGTGGGAAGGTCGAAGCCGCGCGGTGTCGTCATCCAGATGTCATGGTCAAGGTCGCCATGCAGATAGGCTTTGTCGATGTCCGCCTGGTGCACGTGCAAGCCGTTGGCGGCCGCCAGCGCGAGGAGTGAGCGTATCGAGGAGAAGCGTGCGACTGGTGCGAAGGTTTCGTTGAAGTCGATGCCGTCGCGTTGCCGATTTCCCTGCGCCACGAGCCGTGCCTTGTGGCCGGTGACTTCGCCGAGTGCATTCCGTTTCGTTTTCCAGACGAACTTGGATGTGACGATGGTCGCACCCGCTGGTACCGTGGATCGGTCCTCGATGGTGAAGACCTTGAAGTCGTCGCGCATGGAATTGAACTCGTCGGTAGCGGCCTTGGCCCACACTTCGCGCTTGTCACTCGACATTGCCTCGCGCCATGTCTGTGGGTCGCTGGTGATGGACTTGACTGGTTGAATGGCTTCTGTGTCAGAGTTGTCGTCGTCGGTGGCGATGAAGGCGCGGTGGTGTTGGGTGAGGAAATCGATTTCGTCCGGCGATTCATCGCGCGAGTGGCGCCCAATGATGTCGAGTTCGTCGGGCGACTCCTCAGCCGATGCGGGCTCACGGTACGTGCTGAAGTCTGGGCGGTGCACGTCCGGTGGGCCGAGGCGAGTCGGGGTCTGTGAGCCGATGAGGTCCAGAGGGTCGGCGGAGTAGTCAGAGTCGGTCGGTAAGGCCGAGGGTGACGATGACGCAGCCAACGACGGTGACAGCGCAGGCGACGGTGACAAGGGGGTTGCGGGCGACGGTGACGAGGACGGCTCAGGAGACGGTGACGAGGACGATTCGGCATCTGTGGAATTAAGTAAGGTTCCGCCAGTGTACCCTGGGGCCACGTCAACGGCGCTCATGGCAGAGTCATCAAGAGAGGATGAGACGTCCATGTGCGCCGACCTTACTAGTGGGGTCCATGTCTTGACAACGGCTTGGGATTCGGTGGTCGGGCAAGCGCTGGCGAAGTGCGTGTCGGCGTCTTGCTCGGTGGAGTCGCTACGTAACCCGGGAAATTCGTTGTCGAGGAACCTGGCATTTCTGCCCAAACTGATCTTCTTGGTCGTCGTGTCGTAGAAACGGAAGGCTTTAGAAGCCAGGTCATAGCCGGTGAAGAGAACGCGAACCGCTTTCGGGTCGAGTTTCGAGCGAAGTTCAGGCGCGACTGTGAGCCAAGCCGTGCAGCCGAACGGGTGAAGCGCCGAGGCGTTGGTGCGGTCGCCCTGCCAGGCGAAGTTCGGTGTTGCCTTGTCCAGGGCCGAGTGTTCGCACAGGTTCTTGCAGTAGACGAAATAAGCTGCTGCCTCCTCCCAGAATGATTTGGGTAAGTGGGCGTCTGCAAGGAGGGCAAGGACACCTTCGACGATAGAACGATTGACTCGTTCGGCACGACCGTTCTGTTGAGGCGTTCGAGGGATAGAGTATTGTCGACGTGTGCCGCGTGCCTTACAGAATTCCGTGAACGCTCTCGAACAGTATTCGCCACCATTGTCGGTTCGGAGGACCTTCAGTTTTGCACCCGTCTCGAGTTCGACCTCGGCAAGCCATGTCTTGAACACGCCAAAGACTTCGCTTTTGTGTCCGATCGCGTATGCCCACAGTTTGCGCGAGAAGTCGTCAAGAAACGTGACCAGGTAACGCTTGCCAGTCAAGGACGACTCGGGAAAGGAAAGCACATCGCTGTGTACGAGGCCGAGTCTCTCTGAGGAGTGCGAGTCCGAATCGGGAAAAGGAAGACGATGGCCCTTTGCACTGAGGCAAGCATTGCAGACAAACTTCTCTACCTCTTCGTCACTATATCCGGCCCCGAGACCTTCCAGCAAACCAGCGGCAACCATCTTCTGTATGGACGACGGTGCGAGATGGCCGAGGCAGCGGTGAAGGGTCAGCAGGGGCACGGAAGACTGTGAGCGAGAGAGGAGAGCGAGATGCTGACATTTGGAATGATCAGCGTCCAGCAAGTAGAGCCCTTCCTCGAGTCTTGCGCCTTCAGCGATAGCATTGCCGTTCTTGTCGATATGGATGCCGTGCTTCGTGAAGGCGACACGGACATCGTCGGTGTCGCAAAGTCGAGAGACCGAGAGGAGGTTGACAGACAGGCCCGGGGTGTGCAGCACGCCGGTAAGCGTGATCGGGTGACCGGAGGCGGCAACAAAGGCGATGTTTCCCGTTCCGACGGCGTTGATGCCCCCTGCAATACCACCAATCTTCGTAGGAGCGATGTGGCGATAGGCCGTGAACAGCGACTTGTCCGAGACCATGTGCGAAGTGGCACCCGAGTCGACGACGAAGGAGTTGTTGCGAAGCTGACGACGATGTGCGAGAAGACCGGTGGCGAGACATCCGACATGGTGTTGCGCATCAGAGGTGTCGGGCGTTTTCCCGTCCTCAAGAGTCTTTTTGCAGTCGAAAGACCAGTGGTCCTTCTTCTTGCAGGAGCGACACGGGCCTGGCGGTGGATGCTGGGCCCTTGTAGGGCATTGTGCGACGCGGTGAGAAGAGCTGCGACAGGCGAGGCACTTGGTACGGGTAGAACGTGGCGACGACGAGGCAAGGAGGGCCGATTGATCGTTGGAGAGGTTCGTTGACCGGAGTTGAACTCGCATACGGTCGGCCACTGAATCGATGTCAGGGAGAGTTCGTTGCGTGCGTTGTTCGTCGGTGAACGTTGCCTTGAAGCTCTCGAGTGACGGGTGGGCGATCGCGAGGAGGAGTGTGGCAAGGACGTCGTTGATCGTCGTTTTCGTATCGATGATCTCTTGCGCGACCGACTTGAAGTCCATGATCCAACTGTCAAATTCGCCAACCGTTCCGGGCATGGGTCGGAAGCCCCAGAGTCGCGAGAAGAGCTCGAGCGTGCGAGTGGCGTCATCAGGGGCGTATCGCGATTTCAGCGTCGAGTAAATCTTGGGCGCTGTGAGGTCGGCCGTAGGGATCTTGTCGAGGACTGCCGAGACTTCGGCCGAGTCGATTGAGTTTGCAAGGATCTCGCGTGCCACGACGTCGCGGGCGGAGCGTTGCGAAGGCGTCCAATCGTCGGGGGTGATTCCGTCGAGGACGTAGGAGCGGATGTCGTCCGCTAGGCACAGGCGAAGCTGGCGTGTCCAGTTCGCGAACGTCTTCGGCCCGTCCAACCGCGCATGCTTCGGGAAGGCATTGCGATTGGAGCCGGATGTCGTGGCGGGTGCGGTAGTGCCGGAAGCGGCAGCGGTGAGTCCCGACAGCAGCGATGTAAGTGCGGCAAGCTGTTCGGCGGGAATTGTCGGGGTGGCGCTCGTCGCGAGGGTTGACGACGTGTCCATGCCAGCGGTAGCTCGATGGGCTTATAACCTATGAGATGATCACCACTACTGTCAGGAGAAGTCGAGAGTCGAACAGAAGTGATCTATTTCAGCGTACCTATGAGATGATCACCACTACTGTCAGGAGAAGTCGAGAGTCGAACAGAAGTGATGAGAAGGAAGCTAAGAAATGGAAAGGGGGCCCGCGCTGGGATATGCCCAGGCGCGGGCGAAATCGCTGGAGCGCTGAGGCAGTCGCGCGCGGCTAAGTCCCCACTGCAAGGGCGGGCTAGCGGCGCGCGCCCGAAAACCGCCGGCGCCGGCGCGCTGAGGCACTCGCGCGCGCCTAAGTCCCCACCACAGGGGCCAGGCTAGCAGGCGCGCGCAACGACCGAGGCGCCCCTGTCGAGCTGAGAGTGGACTCTTCACAATCATTACCGACCCGCTATCATGGCCTATGTTTCGGGTGACCGAGGAAGGGAGGATTTTGCGTGTACATCCAGATGAGTCTATTTCCTTGTTTGTGCCTCGTGGTCTCGCTACTGGCGTCGTCAACTCCGACAAGGTCCCATCGCTGCGCGAGCTCGTGCTTTCGGAGATTCATCGGAGTGTCGGGCATGCAGGACATCGCATCACCTTGGCCGCCATCCGTCCTTTGTACTGGTGGTCGTCCATGTCTGCCGATTGTGCCGAGTTCTGCCGTTCATGTGAAGACTGTACCCGAGGCAAGGCGTCCACTCAAGTCCCCTATGGCCGACTGCATCCGATGCCGATCCCTTCTGGTCCTTGGGAACAAGTGGCCATCGACTTCATGACAGGACTGCCTCCGGTCGAGCTCGAAGGGATGATGGTTGCTCAAATCATGGTGGTCACTGACACTTGGGGCAAGATGGTCCACCTGATTCCCCTCCCAGCCGACGCCGACTCGGAGCTCGTTGCCGAGAAGTACTACGCCACCGTCTTCCGACTGCATGGGATGCCTTCCGCCATCGTTTCCGACCGTGATCCCAAGTTCACCTCGCAGTTTTGGCGGGCATTGCAGGCAAAGATTGGCACCGTCTTGCGAATGTCAACCGCGGCACACCCGGAGACGGACGGATCGAGCGAGAATCGGATCAAGATGGTCACCCAAACCCTGCGGATCATGGTCTCGTCAAACCACGAGGCTTGGGCATCTCGTCTTGTTGAAGCTGAGTTCGCTCTTAACTCTTCTGTTGCTGTGTCCACGTCGCTGTCGGCTTTTGAGGCAACCTACGGCTACCTTCCTCGATGCTGGCCCTCGGATTCCTGGTCTGTCTCGGACGTCCCTCGTGCGGAAGCGTTTGCTCGGATCCGACAATTACGGAACCTCGACGTGACGGATGCGATCATTGGAGCACGCCTCAACCAGTCCCATCAGGCCAACAAGCATCGACGCCCAGACGACCCCGCCTTTCGGACCGGCAGTTACGTCTATCTTTCGACAAAGAACCTGGCAGTTCCTGACGGCATGAAGTCGAAGTTGTTGCCGCGCTACATCGGCCCCTTCCGTATCCGAGCGGCCATCCCTGCGACGTCCAGCTACGACCTCGAGCTCCCTCCAGCGATGTCGCGAGTGCACAATCGTTTCCATGCTCGACTGCTTCGGCCTTGCGTTGAGAATGATGCTGAAAGGTTTCCTGGGCGTGACCCCGCAGTTCTTTTTGTCGAAGACGTAGCCGACGCGGCCGACAATTCTGCGATTCCGGAACGGATTGTTCGCGATCGGCGGAACGCTCGGGGCGCTCGTTCGTTCTTGGTTCGATGGGTAGGCCGTAACGACACCGACGATACTTGGATGTCAGAGCAGTCCATTCGCCTTGACCATCCGTCCGTCCTCGACGCCTACCTCGCGCGCCTCGATCGCTCGAACCGCCGCCTCGCCGCACGGTAGACTTCCTTCTGGGGGGGACAATGTCAGGATGACAGCGTGTACTCGAAGGAAGCCCCCCAAGGCTATGTGCGGGTAGAGTTGACTTGACCAGAGGCTTGCCTCGTTTCACAGCATCGTCGGTGCGATGGCGTAGTTGTGAGGCGCGCGGGCGCGCACTCGGTGGTCGCGGGTTCGAGGCGCCCAGACCGCAGTCTTCTTTCGGTTTGTTTTATCTTTTTGTTAACCGAGGCGCGGCTTCAGGGTTTTTACCGGTGCTCCCGCGAGCAATCCTTTTTACCCCTGAGGCGACCTCTTGGAGTGGTTGATTTGGCTAAGTCCCCTCTGGGCCTGGCACAGTCCCTTCCCTTTAGTTTTACCACCTTTCCCCGGGAGCTTGGTCCGCTCTTCTCTTTTGTTGCCCCTCCTCTTCTTGTCGATCGTTTGGGAATTAAGTCCGTTACACTTGATTTCCTGCGAGCCTTTCGACCGACTCCCCTCCTCGGTTGCTCCCTTGTCGACTGCCGCCGCAACAGCCGACACTTCCAGAAATCCCCCCCCCCCGTACCAACGCGTGTAGACGACGTCATCCCCTCCGACGTCGCTTGTCAAGGCCGATGGGAAGGTCGAGTCGGCTGGGCGGCGGCAGTCGACCGAGAGCAACCGAGGAGTGGATTCGGTCGGAAGGCTTCGCAGCAAATCAAGTGTAACGGACTTAATTGCCAGCGAAATGGGTAAAAAGAGGGAGGGTACGAGTCATGATAATGAGTGGACCAAGCTCTGGGGGAAGGGTGGCAAAAGCAAAGGGAGGGAAGTGCTCCGAGCGAAGGAAAGACTGAGTCAAATAACTACACCACGAGGTCGCTTCAGGGGTAAAAAGGATTGCCTGCAAGGCACCGGTAAAAACCCCGAAGCCGGGCCTCGGATAACAAAAAGGAAAAGAAACCAAAAGGCTGATCGCACTCGGGCGGATCGAACCCTCGACCACTGAGTGCGCGCCCGTGCGCCCTCACAACTATGAAGGAACAATATACCACTGCACCAAAAGGCGAGGCACCTCTACTTCAGTGAGCGCATATTGTCCTAGAAGTGAGATGGAGCGAAGTTCAACACCCCCCTGTGCGCGAAGCTGAAGAGCTTGTGGCAGTGGGTGCGGCTGTGAGGCAACTGGGCATGTTGATCAGGTCGCTTGGGCAAGTGCAGCTTGGGCACTGTGAGCACTGTCGATGCGCCAGGGTGCTTGGCACGCCGCTGGGCAAGTGCGGGGGCCGGGACGCTGAGTGTATGCGCGCAAAATTGCCTGACCCCAGGGGGGATTGAACTCATGAGCAGCTGGTAGCTCGTTGGGCTCATAACCTATGAAGGAACAATATACCATTGCACCAAAAGGCGAGGCACCTCTACTTCAGTGAGCGCATATTGTCCTAGAAGTGAGATGGAGCGAAGTTCAACAACAACTACGCCATCACGCCCACGATGCTTGCAACGAACGAACCGGTAGCTGATGTCGACTCCGGCCGCAAACTTGGGAGACTTCCTTCACTTCACTTCACTTCACTATCGCCCTACTGCAGCCTTCGATACTCGAGTTAACAAGTGATACACCGACAAGATGTCTACCGGAGACCCTGGGTCCCCACTGCCGGCACCGCCACCAGCGTCCAGCCCCCCCGCGACCGGATCCCAATAAGCTCGAAGAAGACGCAAGTCACGGGCCCCGCCACCGCCGCACCCAACTATTGACAAGCGACGTCGGAGGTATTCGATCAACTCTACTACGTCAGCGATGTAGTTATAGCCAAGAGTGATAAATGCATTTCAACATACCTATTCGATCAACTCTACTACGTCAGCGATGTAGTTATAGCCAAGAGTGATGAATAGGAAGCTAACAATAAGAGACCCGCGCGCCCCAAGTCCACAGCCAGCGAGCCTGGGGCTGAGCCAATGGCCCAGGCTCGCTCCGCGCGCCTAAGTCCCAGGCTCGCTTCGCGCGCCTAAGTCCTGGGCCGGGGCGCCCGGCTCACTCCGCGCGCCTAAGTCCGCGCCCGGTTCGCTCCGCGCGCCTAAGTCCTGAGCCGAGCGGAGAGTGGATTCCTCACACCCCCCCCCACGCGAACGCGAGGTAGACTTGAGCCGTGGATGTCGCGTCCGGAGGCCTAGAGCATAGCAATGTGTACCAAAAATCTTGGGGCCTAGCGCTTTGGTGAATACGTCCGCAACCATGTCTGCTGTGCCAACGTGTGAGAGAGAGATATCACCTCGATTGACCATGTCACGGACAAAATGCTCGCGGAGGCGAATGTGCCGGGTGCCGGAGGTGCGAACGGGGTCGTGAGCGACGGCGGCCGCGGCCTCGTTGTCGGTGAAGATGTGAGCTGCAGCGATTGGGCAAACGTGGAGCTCGGAGAGGAGTTGGTTAAGGTAGATCGCTTCCTTACCCGCGTGCGACAAGGCCAGGTACTCGGCATCAGTGGTGGAATCCGCTACCCGAGTCTGACGCTTCGACGACCAAGAGACAGCGGCGCCTGCCAAGTAAAATACGTAGCCCATCGTTGAAATGGATGTGTCGACGCAGGCGCCCCAGTTCGCATCAGAATAACCAACCACACCCGTGACTTTTGCTGGGCCGCGGGCATAGAGAAGCTCATCGCGGTACGTGGCGCGAAGGTAGCGAAGGACGTGTTTGACGGCAATCCAATGGCGGCGGCCGGGGTTGTTGGCGAACCGGGACAGGTACGAGACGGCGAAGGCAATGTCGGGTCGAGTGCCAAGGGAGATGTAGAGGAGGGAGCCGATGGCCTGTAGGTACCACGAACGAATGCGCTCCGTTCCCTGACCCGGAATTGCCGTGAGCGAGAGGCCGGGCGTCATCGGCACCGTAGTGCCGCGTGTCGTGGTGTCGAAGTGGAAACGGGCCAGCACGTCCATGATGTAGCGCTCCTGGGATAGAGCAATGGAACCGTCGTCCAGGCGGCGTATTTGGATTCCGAGGATGTACTCCGCGGGGCCGAGTCGTTTGACGCCGTACCGCTGTTCAAGGCCGGAGATGACACGTTCGATCTCGTCGAGGGCTGGACTGACAATGAGGAGGTCGTCGACATACAAGGCGATATAGTGAGGCCGCTGCTGATCGTCAATGCGAGAGTAAATGCAGTGATCAGTGCCTGTTGCCTTGTACCCCAGATTCCTGAGTGATGTGTCAATGTGACGATTCCAGATGCGACCGGCCTGCTTGAGACCGTAGATTGAGCGTCGCAGCCGGAGAACCTTATCGCTCGGGAAGTCGAAACCGCGTGGTGTCGTCATCCAGATATCATGATCGAGCTCGCCGTGGAGGTAAGCCTTGTCGATGTCGGCCTGATGAACGTGGTAGCCATTGGCAGCGGCAAGAGCCAGGAGGCAGCGAATGGAGGAGAAACGGGCGACGGGTGCGAAGGTTTCTGAGAAGTCGATGCCGTCGCGCTGTCGGTTACCCTGCGCTACAAGACGTGCCTTCCGCCCCGTGACTTCACCGCTTGCGTTGCGCTTGGTCTTCCAGACGAATTTGGAGGTGACGATGGTGGCGCCCGGCGGTACAGATGAGCGAGGCTCGATGGTGAACACCTTGAAGTCGTCGCGCATGGCGGTGAACTTGGCGGCGGCGGCCTCAGCCCAGATGTTGTGCTCGTCGCTGGACATTGCTTCGCGCCAGGTCTGGGGGTCGCTAGTGATCGATTTGACGGGCTCGATGGCGTCGAGGGTGGGGTCGTCGTCGTCTGTGGCGATGAAGGCGCGGTGGTGTTGGGTGAGGAAATCGATTTCATCCGGCGATTCATCGCGCGAGTGACGCCCAATGATGTCGAGTTCGTCGGGCGACTCCTCAGCCGATGCGGGCTCACGGTACGTGCTGAAGTCTGGGCGGTGCACGTCCGGTGGGCCAAGGCGAGTCGGGGTCTGTGAGCCGATGAGGTCCAGAGGGTCGGCGGAGTAGTCAGAGTCGGTCGGTGAGACCGAGGGTGACGATGACGCTGCCAACGACGGTGACAGCGCAGGCGACGGTGACAAAGGGTTTGTGGGCGACGGTGACGAGGACGGCTCAGGAGACGGTGACGAGGACGATTCGGTATCTGTGGAATTAAGTAAGGTTCCGCCAGTGTACCCTGGGGCCACGTCAACGGCGCTCATGGCAGAATCATCAAGGGAGGATGAGACGTCCATGTGCGCCGACCTTACTAGTGGGGTCCTCGTCTTGACGGCAGGGGCGGGCGTGTCGGCAGGAACGACGAACTGACGGTCGGTGTCGTCTGCATCGACGGGCGTGGTGACTGGCAGGCCGGGGAAGTCGTCGTCGAGGAAGGTGGCATTGCGACCAAGTACAATCTTGTTGATGGAATGGTCAAAGAAACGGAAAGCTTTGGAGGCGAGGTCGTAACCTGTGAAGATCACGCGCGCGGCCTTGGGGTCGAGCTTGCTGCGAAGGTCCGGGGCGACCGTGAGCCAGGCTGTGCAGCCGAACGGGTGGAGGGCGGTGGCGGTGGTGCGTTGGCCGTTCCAAACGGATTCTGGAGTCTGTTTGGCCAAAGCTGAGTGTGAGCACCTGTTTTTGCAATAAACGAAATACGCAGCCGCTTCATCCCAAAAGGTGGCCGGCAGACGGGCGTCCGCAAGGAGAGCGAGGACGCCCTCGACGATGGAGAGGTTGACACGTTCGGCGCGACCGTTTTGTTGAGGCGTGTAAGGGATAGAGTATTGACGACGAATGCCCTTGGATTTGCAGAACTCCGTGAATGCGTTTGATCGGTACTCCCCGCCATTGTCGGTTCGAAGGATCCTCAACCGCGCGTTCGTCTCTAACTCCACTTCGGCGAGCCAAGTCTGGAAGGTCGGGAAAAACATCGCTTTTGTGATCGATCGCATATGCCCAGAGTTTGCGAGAGTGGTCGTCTAGAAACGTGACAAGGTAGCGCTTCCCGGTCAAGGACGGAGTGGGGAACGACAGGACGTCGCTGTGCACGAGGCCAAGTCTCTCGGCGGAATGCGACTCAGAGTCGGGAAAGGGAAGGCGGTGACCTTTGGAACCAAGGCAAGCATTGCAAACAAACTCCTCTACGTCTTTGTCACTGTACCCGGCCCCAAACCCGTCCAGCAAACCTGCAGCAATCATCTTCTGTATAGAGGATGGGGCAAGATGGCCGAGGCAGCGGTGTAGGGTAAGCAGGGGCACGGGAGACTCAGAGCGTGAGAGGAAGGCAAGATGCTGACACTTGGTGTGATCCGCGTCCAAAAGGTAAAGACCGTCGTTGACCCTGGTACCGTGAGCAATGGCCCGGCCGTCCTTGGCGATGTCGATGCCGTCGCTGGTGAAGGCGAGACGAACGCGGTCGGTGTCGCAGAGGCGAGAGACAGAGAGGAGGTTGACGTGTAGGCCAGGCGTGTGAAGAACACCACGGAGCGTGATCGGGTGTCCAGTCTTGGCGACGAATGCCACGTCCCCCATGCCGATAGCCGTGATGCCGCCCGCGATGCCGCCGATCTTGGTGTGTGCCGTCTGACGATAAGTCGTGAATAGAGATCGGTCGGCGACCATGTGTGTCGTGGCACCCGAATCGACTACAAAGGCGTCAGTTGGGAGTTGGCGACGAGCGAAGAGGCAGGAGGCGAAATAGCCGACGTTCGGTTGCGAGGCCGCGGAGGAAGACGTGTCGTCCTGGGTGTCGTCGCTGCTACGTGCCTGTTCACCCCGGTTCTTGCAGTCGAGTGCCCAGTGACCTTTCTTGTGGCATCGGCGGCAGGGGCCGGTGGGCGGGTGCTTCGCACGTGAAGTGCAGTCGCGCAGGCGGTGACCGGGAGCGCGGCAGGCGGGGCAGGGGGAGCTGGTGGCAAGCATGGCCGAATGCGAGGTCGAGAGTCCTGCCGAACGAAGCTGGATGCGAATGCGGTCCGTAAGCGTCGTGAGTTCGGGAAGGTCGCGTCGGTTTCGCTGCTCGTCCGTGAACGTGAGTCGGAAGCTGTCGAGGCAAGACGGGACCATGGCGAGCACGTGGGTGGCGAGCACGTCGTTGAGCGATGTTTTGGCGTCGCGTATTTCCTGAGCAATCGACATGTACTCGCGTAGCCAAGTGTCGTAGGCCTCGACGGAGGCAGGCATCTTCCTGAAGTCCCAAAGGCGAGCGAACAACTCGAGAGTGCGTGTAGCGTCGTCCGGTGCAAAACGAGCCTTGAGAGCGGCAAAGATGCGCGGTGCCGACAGGTCGTCGCTGGGGATGGCGTCGAGGGTGGCCGATACGTCGGCGGAGTCGATAGAGCCAACGATGATTTCCCGGGCGGCGTCGTCACGTGCGGCAAGCTGGTCGGCGGTCCAGGTCGGGGGAACGACACCGTCGAGAACGTAACCACGAACCTGGTTCGGGAGTGCAAGACGGAGTTGACGCAACCAGTTGGTGAACGACTTGGGGCCGTCCAGACGAGCGTGCTTGGGAAACACGACCTTGGATGCGGTGGCGGCGTTCCCCGGCACGACGGTGACGGCCGGGGGTGCGGCGGCTGCGGCGGCGGCGGGTTGCGAGGCCTGCAGAGCGGCAAGCTGGGCCTGTAGAGTGGCGATTTGTTCGCCGATCGAAGATTCAGGGGAGCTGGGATCCCTGGGGGCCAAAGGCGAGGCGGGAGAGCTGTCCATGATGTGATGGTGCGATGGACGTGTGCGGCTCGAGTGGCTGGGCTCGAGCGAAAAAGCCTCAAGCGGCGGGGCTGGTAGCTCGTGGGCTTATAACCTATTCGATCAACTCTACTACGTCAGCGATGTAGTTATAGCCAAGAGTGATAAATGCATTTCAACATACCTATTCGATCAACTCTACTACGTCAGCGATGTAGTTATAGCCAAGAGTGATGAATAGGAAGCTAACAATAAGAGACCCGCGCGCCCCAAGTCCACAGCCAGCGAGCCTGGGGCTGAGCCAATGGCCCAGGCTCGCTCCGCGCGCCTAAGTCCCAGGCTCGCTTCGCGCGCCTAAGTCCTGGGCCGGGGCGCCCGGCTCACTCCGCGCGCCTAAGTCCGCGCCCGGTTCGCTCCGCGCGCCTAAGTCCTGAGCCGAGCGGAGAGTGGATTCCTCACAGGAGGGGATGACGTCGTCTACACGCGTTGGTACGGGGGGGGATTTCTGGAAGTGTCGGCTGTTGCGGCGGCAGTCGACAAGGGAGCAACCGAGGAGGGGAGTCGGTCGAAAGGCTCGCAGGAAATCAAGTGTAACGGACTTAATTCCCAAACGATCGACAAGAAGAGGAGGGGCAACAAAAGAGAAGAGCGGACCAAGCTCCCGGGGAAAGGTGGTAAAACTAAAGGGAAGGGACTGTGCCAGGCCCAGAGGGGACTTAGCCAAATCAACCACTCCAAGAGGTCGCCTCAGGGGTAAAAAGGATTGCTCGCGGGAGCACCGGTAAAAACCCTGAAGCCGCGCCTCGGTTAACAAAAAGATAAAACAAACCGAAAGAAGACTGCGGTCTGGGCGCCTCGAACCCGCGACCACCGAGTGCGCGCCCGCGCGCCTCACGACTACGCCATCGCACCGACGATGCTGTGAAACGAGGCAAGTCTCTGGTCAAGTCAACTCTACCCGCACATAGTCTTGGGGGGGCTTCCTTCGAGTACACGCTGTCATCCTGACACTGTCCCCCCCAGAAGGAAGTCTACCGTGCGGCGAGGCGGCGGTTCGAGCGATCGAGGCGCGCGAGGTAGGCGTCGAGGACGGACGGATGGTCAAGGCGAATGGACTGCTCTGACATCCAAGTATCGTCGGTGTCGTTACGGCCTACCCATCGAACCAAGAACGAACGAGCGCCCCGAGCGTTCCGCCGATCGCGAACAATCCGTTCCGGAATCGCAGAATTGTCGGCCGCGTCGGCTACGTCTTCGACAAAAAGAACTGCGGGGTCACGCCCAGGAAACCTTTCAGCATCATTCTCAACGCAAGGCCGAAGCAGTCGAGCATGGAAACGATTGTGCACTCGCGACATCGCTGGAGGGAGCTCGAGGTCGTAGCTGGACGTCGCAGGGATGGCCGCTCGGATACGGAAGGGGCCGATGTAGCGCGGCAACAACTTCGACTTCATGCCGTCAGGAACTGCCAGGTTCTTTGTCGAAAGATAGACGTAACTGCCGGTCCGAAAGGCGGGGTCGTCTGGGCGTCGATGCTTGTTGGCCTGATGGGACTGGTTGAGGCGTGCTCCAATGATCGCATCCGTCACGTCGAGGTTCCGTAATTGTCGGATCCGAGCAAACGCTTCCGCACGAGGGACGTCCGAGACAGACCAGGAATCCGAGGGCCAACATCGAGGAAGGTAGCCGTAGGTTGCCTCAAAAGCCGACAGCGACGTGGACACAGCAACAGAAGAGTTAAGAGCGAACTCAGCTTCAACAAGACGAGATGCCCAAGCCTCGTGGTTTGACGAGACCATGATCCGCAGGGTTTGGGTGACCATCTTGATCCGATTCTCGCTCGATCCGTCCGTCTCCGGGTGTGCCGCGGTTGACATTCGCAAGACGGTGCCAATCTTTGCCTGCAATGCCCGCCAAAACTGCGAGGTGAACTTGGGATCACGGTCGGAAACGATGGCGGAAGGCATCCCATGCAGTCGGAAGACGGTGGCGTAGTACTTCTCGGCAACGAGCTCCGAGTCGGCATCGGCTGGGAGGGGAATCAGGTGGACCATCTTGCCCCAAGTGTCAGTGACCACCATGATTTGAGCAACCATCATCCCTTCGAGCTCGACCGGAGGCAGTCCTGTCATGAAGTCGATGGCCACTTGTTCCCAAGGACCAGAAGGGATCGGCATCGGATGCAGTCGGCCATAGGGGACTTGAGTGGACGCCTTGCCTCGGGTACAGTCTTCACATGAACGGCAGAACTCGGCACAATCGGCAGACATGGACGACCACCAGTACAAAGGACGGATGGCGGCCAAGGTGATGCGATGTCCTGCATGCCCGACACTCCGATGAATCTCCGAAAGCACGAGCTCGCGCAGTGATGGGACCTTGTCGGAGTTGACGACGCCAGTAGCGAGACCACGAGGCACAAACAAGGAAATAGACTCATCTGGATGTACACGCAAAATCCTCCCTTCCTCGGTCACCCGAAACATAGGCCATGATAGCGGGTCGGTAATGATGACCTGGGCTTGCGAATCGTTGGCGTATGCTCGGATGACGGTGTCGAGGAAGGGTTGGGGCAGTGGATCAGGCGGCCGATGGACTACAGGGGTGTCGTTGACATCATCGGTGGCAACTCCCAACAAATCGAGTTCGTCGGCGTCGGCATGGACCGGAATGGGCGGGTCGTTGGCAGGGGCCGTAGCAATAGCGTGAACTCGATTGACAGCGATGGGAGGAGAGAGGCGGCTGTTGAACTTCGCTCCATCTCACTTCTAGGACAATATGCGCTCACTGAAGTAGAGGTGCCTCGCCTTTTGGTGCAGTGGTATATTGTTCTTTCATAGGTTATGAGCCCAGAGCAACCAGCAGGTCATGAGTTCAATCCCCCCTGGGGTCAGGCAATTTTGCGCGCATACACTCAGCGTCCCGGCCCCCGCACTTGCCCAGCAGCGTGCCAAGCACCCTGGCGCATCGACAGTGCTCACAGTGCCCAAGCTGCACTTGCCCAAGCGACCTGATCAACATGCCCAGTTGCCTCACAGCCGCACCCACTGCCACAAGCTCTTCAGCTTCGCGCACAGGGGGGTGTTGAACTTCGCTCCATCTCACTTCTAGGACAATATGCGCTCACTGAAGTAGAGGTGCCTCGCCTTTTGGTGCAGTGGTATATTGTTCCTTCACTCCATCTCACTTCTAGGACAATATGCGCTCACTGAAGTAGAGGTGCCTCGCCTTTTGGTGCAGTGGTATATTGTTCTTTCATAGCGGCCGATAGACCAATCGACGGCGTCCATAATGTTCTCGGCCAGATGAGGGGAACCGGGAGAGCCTGCGTCGTAACCGTGACCCCAGGGCCCGAAGGCGCAATCAACAGGGGGCAACCGATCGTGCGAAGGTGAGGTGTAAGGACGTTCCTCGAGGAGGCTCTCACCGGGCGTAATGAACTCGTGGCATTCTTCCTTCAAGAACAAATTCCCTAATTCCTGTCCATTCACGTCCTCGTCTTGCGATTCCTCCTTGAGCGCGTAGTATCCGGGAGAGCCTGCCTCGCAATCGTCGTGTTGGGGCCCGAGGGCAAAATCAACAGGAGGCAACCGATCGGGAGATGGTGAAGTGCAAGGACGTTCCTCAGGGAGGCTCTCACCGGGTGTAGTGAATTCGTGGCGTTCTCCATCAAAGAACATGTCCTCCAACTCATTCTCCTTGACCTGATCCTCGTGTGAACCCTGCTTGACCTCCCACAGACGCGACAACGAATCGGCCAGGGTGTTGTTCTTGCCAGCAATGAATTCAAATTCGAAGTCGAAACGGCTGAGTTCGAGACACATGCGGATGTGCCGAGGCGTTTGGCGCAGTTTTTGGGTTTTTGTCAGGAGCACAGCCTGCACTGCCATCAATACTCGAAGGAAGTCTCCCAAGTTTGCGGCCGGAGTCGACATCAGCTACCGGTTTGTTCGTTGCAAGCATTGTCGGCGCGATGGTGTAGTCGTGAGGGCGCGCGGGCGCGCACTCAGTGGTCGAGGGTTCGATCCGCCCGGAGCGTGATCTGCCTTTTGGTTTCTTTTCCTTTTTGTTATCCGAGGCCCGGCTTCGGGGTTTTTACCGGTGCCTTGCAGGCAATCCTTTTTACCCCTGAAGCGACCTCGTGGTGTAGTTATTTGATTCAGTCTTTCCTTCGCTCGGAGCACTTCCCTCCTTTTGCTTTTGCCACCCTTCCCCTAGAGCTTGGTCCACTCATTATCATGACTCGTACCCTCCCTCTTTTTACCCATTTCGCTGGCAATTAAGTCCGTTACACTTGATTTGCTGCGAAGCCTTCCGACCGAATCCACTCCTCGGTTGCTCTCGGTCGACTGCCGCCGCCCAGCCGACTCGACCTTCCCATCGGCCTGGTCAGCTATTTCTTGGATCGTTTGCCCTTCCTCTTTTGTCCGACCTCGTTGGCCACCATAGTCCGGTACACTGGACTTGCTGCGAGCCTTGCAGCCGCGTATCCTCCGCGGTTGCCTCTCGGTCGACTTCCGCCGCCCAGCCGACTCGACCTTCCCACCGGCCTGGTCAGCTATTTCTTGGATCGTTTGCCCTCCCTCTTCTGTCCGACCTCGTTGGCTACCATAGTTCGGTACACTGGACTTGCTGCGAGCCTTGCAGCCGCGTATCCTCCGCGGTTGCCTCTCGGTCGACTGCCGCCGCCTCGGTCGACACCCCCTTCGCTCCTTCGCGCTTTCGCGCGCTCTCTCGCTCTCTCCCTCGTCTCTCGCGTGTAGTCATCGTCATCCCCTCCGACGTTGCCTGTCAGTTTTTATCGTGCGAAGGGCCTGATGGTCGGTGACGATGACGAAGGGGTAACCGATCAAGTGCTGCTCGAACGCCCGACACGCCGAGACAACAGCCAAGAACTCTTTATCAGTGACATGATAGTTGAGCTGAGCACCGTTGAACTTAGCGGAAAAGAATCGCGTTGGAACGGCCTGCGAACGGTTGGGCCCGGACGCCAAACAAGCGCCAATGCCAACCCGACTGGCATCCGTGAAGAGGTACATCTTGTGCTCGCCCGAGGTAACCTTGGCGCCATCGATCGGTCGTAGGATGGCGGGCACAAGGGACTTGACGGTATCGAAAGCCTGCTGTTCTCGCTCGTTCCAACGCCATGACGTCGATTGCGCCATTAACGCGGTGATCGGCTCCAAAATCTTTGAGAGGTGCGGTAGGTGATCTCGCATCCAGTTGACGGTGCCGAGGAAGCGCTGGACATCGGTCTTGTTGCACGGGATCGGCCACTGACGGATACGCACCCACTTGGCGGGGTCGACTTCGATGCCGACGTCGGAAATGATGGTGCCCAAGGAGTCCAACGACTTTGAGAACCACTCGGACTTCTTGGATCCTAAGTAGAACCGGTAATGTCTCAATGTCATCAGCAGGATCTTGATGTGTCTCAAGTGCGCGCGACGGGTATCGGAATGGACGTGGACATCGTCGAAAAAGATCTTGGCGAACGGGAGACACGGCTGGAACATCGCCGAGGTTAAGAGGTTGAGGGTATTGGGCGCATTGGTGTCACCAAACTGCATGACCCGCGACGTGTACGTGCCCGTCACCGTTGCGAAGCCGGTGCGATCGACGTGCTCCGGTATGACCCGAACCTGCTCAAATGCCGCGGCCACGTCGAATTTAGAGCGATAACGCGATCGAGCCACCTCGTATCGAACATTGGTCATGTCCGGGATGGGCGAAAAACGCTTGACGGTGTTGCTGTTGCGCGCGCGGAGGTCGATCACGAAACGAGCCGTCTGGGAGTTCTTCTTCGGAATGGCAAAGACCGGAGCCGCAGAATCGATCGGACCCGAAACCCAGAATCGACCACGAGTGTACTTAGCTGAGTGTTCCGCCCACTGGCTGCGATATTTGTCGGCAAGGGGGTATACCCGGGGTTTGACCTTTTCGGTGGGATTGATCAACGGGATCTCGTGGTTGACTGGCCGGTACGGTGGGAGTTGGTCCATCGGTAGCAAATCTACGAACACATCAGAAAATTTCTCGAGTAAGGCAGCCAATCGTGTTCGTGCTTCGGACTCAGAGAAATCGTCGAGTGCCGGATCGTCGACGACATCGAGCAGCGGGTTGTGTGGCTCGAGGCCGATGATCTCGTCGTCGGGAAGCAACCCAGGGTGATTGCAGCCAATGGCAGAACTGGATAAGATAGGTGCTACGGTGACGGCTCGGTCCCATTCGTGCGTATCCTGGGCGACGGGTTGCGAAGGGCCGGTGCGCGCGACGGTGAAGACGCCCCAACCAACGAGCATGCCTGTGTCCTTAAGAAATGGCAGCCCCAAGATGGCGTCGTACGCCGTTACACGGCAAACGAAGAATGGTCGCAAACCGAGATCTAGGGCGCCAGACGAAAAAGGAGCGGTGGCGAACACAGCACATCGGTCGGACTTATCCTGGGTGCCGAGGCGCAAGTGCAATGGTGCAGTCAAACGGGCCGTTGCGAAGCTCGGGTCGACTCGCACCACCTCCTGATCCACCAAGTCGACCTCTGATCCAGAGTCGATCAAACATCGCAAAACCCTTCCAGAAGGTAGCGTCCAAGCGATGACGTTGCGGGCGCGTACAATGGCGGGCTCGACAGGTCGGTCGGGTTCGTCGATGTCGATCAGGGGCGCAGCGGACGCCAAGAGAGACACACCCGACGGCACAAGAATCTGGAAAGAGCTCACCGAAGCAGTCCTTTCCGCCTTGCGAGACGACACCACTTCCGGCCCCGGATAATGACACAAGCGCGACGCGGCATCAGCGTAGTACAAGACATCTTCCACCGCGTCAATCGCGATGTCAGCCAGGCTATCGTCGAGACGATGTTGATCTGCATCATTTGCCGGCACGGTTGGATGCGAACTACTTGATGAGGTCTGAACTTCAAAAGAAGAAGAGGCAACGTCTTTCACTCGGCCAACAAGGTCTGCAGGAGGGCAAGAGTGGTGCGTCACTAAGGCGGATGCGGAACTCGACGGTCGAGTCAAATCAGTCTCGAGGGGAAGGGGGAATCGCACCTGGGGGTCCTCAACGTCACCTGAGGCCGACGACCATTCGTCCTCGTCCATGTCGGCGAAGGCAATTGCTGATATTTGGACGGTCGAGGGGGATTGTCGCTCCGCTGTACAATGCTGTGAGAAATGGCCACCTTGACCGCAATTAAAACACGCCATGCTGGCGGGTACCCCACCCGATGCTGGCGAAAACCACGTGTTCCGATCCTTCCACAGGTGGGCCTGTTGCCATTTACCGGCGCGGTTCATCCATCGAGCTCGACGGATCTGGGTACGTGCGTCGTCGTTTGGCGTGGATGGGGCGGTGCGTGGCGTTTTCGCAATTGCTCCATAAGTCGCAGTACGAATCGGCGGGGTCGAAACTGATGTCGTGCCGGTGTCGTCGGCGATGGCGGCCCAGTCGGTAACCTCCTCGAGGGACGGGACAGTTCGTCCGAACCTCCCTATAGTCACGAGTGAGTTATCCCGATATTCCCGCAGCATACCAGCCCGCACTTCCCGCTTAGCCACATCACTCAACGATTGATAAAAGGTTGTGGCGAGTTGAAGGGACGAGAGGCTGAAGCTGGGGTCGTTGTGCATAAACGCTCGGTAGCGGGCACGCCATTCGCCCACATGGTCGTAGGCTCGAGACGAAGACTGTCGGCACCCATAGAAGTCGTGGGACACTCGGTCGGCAAAGCCAGGATCCGGCCAACGACGTCCAACTTCTGTCATCAGTGTCGTCCAGCAGTGAGGTCGTTCGTCCCGGAGCGCGTCCGTCATAGTATCAACGGCCCAGTCGTGCGGAGACTGACGGCGCTTGGGAGAAGTGGAACGAACGAACAAGGTCGCCACAAGCTGGATGACGCGGTCGGTGGTAAAAAGGTCGCTGGTGGAAATGTCGCAAAGTAGAGACAAGTACGACTTCCCAAATGTAGTGAAAGTGACCAACCGATCCGGGTTATCCCCTGTCCATAGCCCTTCCCGGTCAGGTAACGTCCCTCTCCAACGAGAGCTGATTACTGCCGAGGAAGGGCCGTCCCTTCGTGCGCTGTGAGATTCCCCCCCAGGGGAACAAACAAGGGGGTCAGCGGTATTGCCTGAACGTTCCAGAATGGTGTGTGGGGGAACGTCCAAGGGGACCGATCTCACCAGCGGAAACGTAAACTCCCCAGCCCGCGCTGCGGCTGGTTCAGAGAATCCAGCCCTCGCCACAGCTGGTTCAGAGACTCCGGCCCGCGCCGCAGCTGGTTCAGGTGAGCTTTTCAATAAACCCTCCACCAACTTCTCCAATTGCTGAACACGTTCCTCGGAGTCGATACGACGGGCTTCGGATTCCTTGAGGCGGCTTTCGAGGGACGATAGAGCGGTGGCGGTGTGGTAGGGTTGGGGCGGCGGGGACTTGGGCGGTTTCGCGCGGCCGGGGTCTTCGGCGCGGAGAGGAGCGTCTCGATCATCGGCGGCGGCGCGGTACACGTCGCGCTCGTCGGCCATGGCAATCTCGTGACTCAAACGTCGGCGATTGCGGGGCGAACGAAGGCGGGCACGAGACGGTTGACGGAAAGGGTAGGAAGGATAAACGTGTTCGTTGTCGGACTCTGTGGAGGAAGTCGGGAAGGACAGCGACGCGTTCGTTGGTGATGAATTCGGCAACGGAGAGGAGGCTGAAGACTCAGGCTCAGAGAGTGGGGGTGAATGCTCGTCCAGGACGGTGGACGAAGCGGTTGTAGAGGTGCGGATCGTTGTCGGTAATGCCGAACTTGAAAAAAGTGACAAGCGACGTCGGAGGGGATGACGTCGTCTACACGCGTTGGTACGGGGGGGGGATTTCTGGAAGTGTCAGCTGTTGCGGCGGCAGTCGACAAGGGAGCAACCGAGGAGGGGAGTCGGTCGAAAGGCTCGCAGGAAATCAAGTGTAACGGACTTAATTCCCAAACGATCGACAAGAAGAGGAGGGGCAACAAAAGAGAAGAGCGGACCAAGCTCCCGGGGAAAGGTGGTAAAACTAAAGGGAAGGGACTGTGCCAGGCCCAGAGGGGACTTAGCCAAATCAACCACTCCAAGAGGTCGCCTCAGGGGTAAAAAGGATTGCTCGCGGGAGCACCGGTAAAAACCCTGAAGCCGCGCCTCGGTTAACAAAAAGATAAAACAAACCGAAAGAAGACTGCGGTCTGGGCGCCTCAAACCCGCGACCACCGAGTGCGCGCCCGCGCGCCTCACGACTACGCCATCGCACCGACGATGCTGTGAAACGAGGCAAGTCTCTGGTCAAGTCAACTCTACCCGCACATAGTCTTGGGGGGGCTTCCTTCGAGTACACGCTGTCATCCTGACAACTATGCTGCCGCTGCGAGTCAGATGGCGGCTCAAACACCTGAACAACAGCAACAACAACAACAGCGTGCCAAGGCTCTGGGCAGCCTCCTACAAGCCATGGGTGCTGTACCCGGAAACCGCATGGATCGCTGGGTCCAGGCCATCTACTTCGCCGAACTCTACCCCGTCGCCACCGCCACATCGCTGAAATTTTCGGCCTTGAACGCGAACCGGTCCGTCGAGAACATCTTCGATTACGCCCTTGAAGTGACTCTGTCTCACCAGAGCGCCTTGCGAGCGACTCATGCCGACAAGATCGATCTCGTGGCCTGCGTCACGAGGCTGCTATCGCCCATCTCTCCTATCTGCTTTGAGCCTGGAGTTCCTCTGCCGGACCATCTTGCGGCTTATCAACCACAGATCTTAGGCGTACAACATTCATCAATCCTGCGTAATGGGGCGGCTCACCATCGCGTTACGGTTGGGTTCGTCACCGGCGAGGCACGTGACGCGGCGCTCACGACGCCCCCCGCTCTCACTTGGCGATTGGCGAAGGCCCGCTTCGCGAAGTCTCACAGGTTCCACCATAACATGGTCGAGCTTCGAATCAACGTCGGTGTTCAAGGAGTGCCCTCCATGGATGCCATCATCAAATCGTTCCAATCACTTGTGCAAGACCTGTCAGCCAAGGGACATTCATGCCAACTTGTGCAGGTTCTGCGCGTTATCAGCGTGGACAACGCCTCGGCCTTCGCCCACGTTGCCGGAGACTACTCGGCTTTCCTACACTTCGATGACGACTCCCTATTCCAACGCCCCAACACGACCTTGAAGGAGATTCTACCTTCGAGGATCGACCTTCCCACTCGAGGCATCCCGGTTACCGCCCTTCGCCATGACTATGAGAAGGAGGCGGCTTGCGGTAGGTGCCACTTTGTGGGTCACGTGGGAACCTGCGGACTGGATCAGGAGAGGAAGCGGAAGGAGGCTCACAACGGCATCATCAACAGCAACAAAAACACCATCACCCACAACACCAACATCGCGGAGGCCGAGGCCCCCTGACAAGCGACGTCGGAGGGGATGACGTCGTCTACACGCGTTGGTACGGGGGGGGGATTTCTGGAAGTGTCGGCTGTTGCGGCGGCAGTCGACAAGGGAGCAACCGAGGAGGGGAGTCGGTCGAAAGGCTCGCAGGAAATCAAGTGTAACGGACTTAATTCCCAAACGATCGACAAGAAGAGGAGGGGCAACAAAAGAGAAGAGCGGACCAAGCTCCCGGGGAAAGGTGGTAAAACTAAAGGGAAGGGACTGTGCCAGGCCCAGAGGGGACTTAGCCAAATCAACCACTCCAAGAGGTCGCTATGAGATGATCACCACTACTGTCAGGAGAAGTCGAGAGTCGAACAGAAGTGATCTATTTCAGCGTACCTATGAGATGATCACCACTACTGTCAGGAGAAGTCGAGAGTCGAACAGAAGTGATGAGAAGGAAGCTAAGAAATGGAAAGGGGGGCCCGCGCTGGGATATGCCCAGGCGCGGGCGAAATCGCTGGAGCGCTGAGGCAGTCGCGCGCGGCTAAGTCCCCACTGCAAGGGCGGGCTAGCGGCGCGCGCCCGAAAACCGCCGGCGCCGGCGCGCTGAGGCACTCGCGCGCGCCTAAGTCCCCACCACAGGGGCCAGGCTAGCAGGCGCGCGCAACGACCGAGGCGCCCCTGTCGAGCTGAGAGTGGACTCTTCACACCCCCCCCCACGCGAATGCGAGGCAGATCCAAGCCGTGGGTGTCGAGTGCGAAGGCCTAGTGCGTAGCAGTGTGTCGAGAAAATCTTTGGGCCAAGAGCCTTTGTGAAGATGTCGGCCACCATGTTGCTGGTTCCCACATGCGAGAGTGAGATATCGCCCCGATTCACCATGTCCCGAACAAAGTGCTCGCGCAAGCGTATGTGTCGAGTGCCGGAGACGCGGACAGGGTCGTGGGCAACTGCGGCAGCGGCTTCATTGTCAGTAAAAATGTGAGCCGGTGCAACAGGTTGGACATGGAGCTCCTCGAGCAGCTGACTGAGGTAGATCCCTTCCTTGCCAGCATGCGAGAGGGCGAGGTATTCAGCGTCGGTGGTAGAATCGGCAACTCGAGATTGACGCTTGGACGACCAAGACACGGCGGATCCGGCAATGTAGAAGACGTAGCCCATAGTGGACACCGACGTATCGACGCAGGCCCCCCAGTTCGCGTCGGAGTAGCCAACCACGCCCGTGATGCGTGTCTCGCCGCAAGCATAAACCAGTTCGTCGCGATATGTGGCCCGGAGATAGCGGAGGATGTGCTTGACCGCGATCCAGTGACGACGTCCAGGGTTGTTGGCGAAGCGGGCCAGGTAGGACACGGCGAAGGCGATGTCGGGGCGGGTGCCGAGCGAAATGTAGAGGAGCGAGCCGATAGCCTGCAGATACCATGACCTGATCCGTTCGGTGCCTTGACCCGGGATGGCGGTGAGCGAAAGGCCGGGGGTCATCGGGACTGTAGTGCCGCGAGTCGTGGTGTCGAAGTGGAACCGAGCAAGCACGTCCATGATGTACCGTTCCTGGGACAGGGCAATAGAACCGTCTTCGAGTCGCCTGATCTGGATGCCGAGGATGTACTCTGCCGGGCCGAGGCGCTTGACGCCGTAGCGTTGTTCGAGGCCCGAGATGACACGTTCAATTTCGGCCAAGTCGGGGCTGATCATCAGGAGGTCGTCGACGTACAGCGCGATGTAGTGTGGGCGTCGCCGATCGTCGATCCGAGAGTACACGCAGTGGTCGGTGCCCGTCGCCGTATAGCCGAGATCTCGAAGCGATGCGTCGATGTGTCGATTCCAGATTCGGCCAGCCTGTTTGAGTCCGTAGATGGAGCGTCGCAGACGAAGCACCTTGTCGGTGGGAAGGTCGAAGCCGCGCGGTGTCGTCATCCAGATGTCATGGTCAAGGTCGCCATGCAGATAGGCTTTGTCGATGTCCGCCTGGTGCACGTGCAAGCCGTTGGCGGCCGCCAGCGCGAGGAGTGAGCGTATCGAGGAGAAGCGTGCGACTGGTGCGAAGGTTTCGTTGAAGTCGATGCCGTCGCGTTGCCGATTTCCCTGCGCCACGAGCCGTGCCTTGTGGCCGGTGACTTCGCCGAGTGCATTCCGTTTCGTTTTCCAGACGAACTTGGATGTGACGATGGTCGCACCCGCTGGTACCGTGGATCGGTCCTCGATGGTGAAGACCTTGAAGTCGTCGCGCATGGAATTGAACTCGTCGGTAGCGGCCTTGGCCCACACTTCGCGCTTGTCACTCGACATTGCCTCGCGCCATGTCTGTGGGTCGCTGGTGATGGACTTGACTGGTTGAATGGCTTCTGTGTCAGAGTTGTCGTCGTCGGTGGCGATGAAGGCGCGGTGGTGTTGGGTGAGGAAATCGATTTCGTCCGGCGATTCATCGCGCGAGTGGCGCCCAATGATGTCGAGTTCGTCGGGCGACTCCTCAGCCGATGCGGGCTCACGGTACGTGCTGAAGTCTGGGCGGTGCACGTCCGGTGGGCCGAGGCGAGTCGGGGTCTGTGAGCCGATGAGGTCCAGAGGGTCGGCGGAGTAGTCAGAGTCGGTCGGTAAGGCCGAGGGTGACGATGACGCAGCCAACGACGGTGACAGCGCAGGCGACGGTGACAAGGGGGTTGCGGGCGACGGTGACGAGGACGGCTCAGGAGACGGTGACGAGGACGATTCGGCATCTGTGGAATTAAGTAAGGTTCCGCCAGTGTACCCTGGGGCCACGTCAACGGCGCTCATGGCAGAGTCATCAAGAGAGGATGAGACGTCCATGTGCGCCAACCTTACTAGTGGGGTCCATGTCTTGACAACGGCTTGGGATTCGGTGGTCGGGCAAGCGCTGGCGAAGTGCGTGTCGGCGTCTTGCTCGGTGGAGTCGCTACGTAACCCGGGAAATTCGTTGTCGAGGAACCTGGCATTTCTGCCCAAACTGATCTTCTTGGTCGTCGTGTCGTAGAAACGGAAGGCTTTAGAAGCCAGGTCATAGCCGGTGAAGAGAACGCGAACCGCTTTCGGGTCGAGTTTCGAGCGAAGTTCAGGCGCGACTGTGAGCCAAGCCGTGCAGCCGAACGGGTGAAGCGCCGAGGCGTTGGTGCGGTCGCCCTGCCAGGCGAAGTTCGGTGTTGCCTTGTCCAGGGCCGAGTGTTCGCACAGGTTCTTGCAGTAGACGAAATAAGCTGCTGCCTCCTCCCAGAATGATTTGGGTAAGTGGGCGTCTGCAAGGAGGGCAAGGACACCTTCGACGATAGAACGATTGACTCGTTCGGCACGACCGTTCTGTTGAGGCGTTCGAGGGATAGAGTATTGTCGACGTGTGCCGCGTGCCTTACAGAATTCCGTGAACGCTCTCGAACAGTATTCGCCACCATTGTCGGTTCGGAGGACCTTCAGTTTTGCACCCGTCTCGAGTTCGACCTCGGCAAGCCATGTCTTGAACACGCCAAAGACTTCGCTTTTGTGTCCGATCGCGTATGCCCACAGTTTGCGCGAGAAGTCGTCAAGAAACGTGACCAGGTAACGCTTGCCAGTCAAGGACGACTCGGGAAAGGAAAGCACATCGCTGTGTACGAGGCCGAGTCTCTCTGAGGAGTGCGAGTCCGAATCGGGAAAAGGAAGACGATGGCCCTTTGCACTGAGGCAAGCATTGCAGACAAACTTCTCTACCTCTTCGTCACTATATCCGGCCCCGAGACCTTCCAGCAAACCAGCGGCAACCATCTTCTGTATGGACGACGGTGCGAGATGGCCGAGGCAGCGGTGAAGGGTCAGCAGGGGCACGGAAGACTGTGAGCGAGAGAGGAGAGCGAGATGCTGACATTTGGAATGATCAGCGTCCAGCAAGTAGAGCCCTTCCTCGAGTCTTGCGCCTTCAGCGATAGCATTGCCGTTCTTGTCGATATGGATGCCGTGCTTCGTGAAGGCGACACGGACATCGTCGGTGTCGCAAAGTCGAGAGACCGAGAGGAGGTTGACAGACAGGCCCGGGGTGTGCAGCACGCCGGTAAGCGTGATCGGGTGACCGGAGGCGGCAACAAAGGCGATGTTTCCCGTTCCGACGGCGTTGATGCCCCCTGCAATACCACCAATCTTCGTAGGAGCGATGTGGCGATAGGCCGTGAACAGCGACTTGTCCGAGACCATGTGCGAAGTGGCACCCGAGTCGACGACGAAGGAGTTGTTGCGAAGCTGACGACGATGTGCGAGAAGACCGGTGGCGAGACATCCGACATGGTGTTGCGCATCAGAGGTGTCGGGCGTTTTCCCGTCCTCAAGAGCCTTTTTGCAGTCGAAAGACCAGTGGTCCTTCTTCTTGCAGGAGCGACACGGGCCTGGCGGTGGATGCTGGGCCCTTGTAGGGCATTGTGCGACGCGGTGAGAAGAGCTGCGACAGGCGAGGCACTTGGTACGGGTAGAACGTGGCGACGACGAGGCAAGGAGGGCCGATTGATCGTTGGAGAGGTTCGTTGACCGGAGTTGAACTCGCATACGGTCGGCCACTGAATCGATGTCAGGGAGAGTTCGTTGCGTGCGTTGTTCGTCGGTGAACGTTGCCTTGAAGCTCTCGAGTGACGGGTGGGCGATCGCGAGGAGGAGTGTGGCAAGGACGTCGTTGATCGTCGTTTTCGTATCGATGATCTCTTGCGCGACCGACTTGAAGTCCATGATCCAACTGTCAAATTCGCCAACCGTTCCGGGCATGGGTCGGAAGCCCCAGAGTCGCGAGAAGAGCTCGAGCGTGCGAGTGGCGTCATCAGGGGCGTATCGCGATTTCAGCGTCGAGTAAATCTTGGGCGCTGTGAGGTCGGCCGTAGGGATCTTGTCGAGGACTGCCGAGACTTCGGCCGAGTCGATTGAGTTTGCAAGGATCTCGCGTGCCACGACGTCGCGGGCGGAGCGTTGCGAAGGCGTCCAATCGTCGGGGGTGATTCCGTCGAGGACGTAGGAGCGGATGTCGTCCGCTAGGCACAGGCGAAGCTGGCGTGTCCAGTTCGCGAACGTCTTCGGCCCGTCCAACCGCGCATGCTTCGGGAAGGCATTGCGATTGGAGCCGGATGTCGTGGCGGGTGCGGTAGTGCCGGAAGCGGCAGCGGTGAGTCCCGACAGCAGCGATGTAAGTGCGGCAAGCTGTTCGGCGGGAATTGTCGGGGTGGCGCTCGTCGCGAGGGTTGACGACGTGTCCATGCCAGCGGTAGCTCGATGGGCTTATAACCTATGAGATGATCACCACTACTGTCAGGAGAAGTCGAGAGTCGAACAGAAGTGATCTATTTCAGCGTACCTATGAGATGATCACCACTACTGTCAGGAGAAGTCGAGAGTCGAACAGAAGTGATGAGAAGGAAGCTAAGAAATGGAAAGGGGGGCCCGCGCTGGGATATGCCCAGGCGCGGGCGAAATCGCTGGAGCGCTGAGGCAGTCGCGCGCGGCTAAGTCCCCACTGCAAGGGCGGGCTAGCGGCGCGCGCCCGAAAACCGCCGGCGCCGGCGCGCTGAGGCACTCGCGCGCGCCTAAGTCCCCACCACAGGGGCCAGGCTAGCAGGCGCGCGCAACGACCGAGGCGCCCCTGTCGAGCTGAGAGTGGACTCTTCACAGTCGCCTCAGGGGTAAAAAGGATTGCTCGCGGGAGCACCGGTAAAAACCCTGAAGCCGCGCCTCGGTTAACAAAAAGATAAAACAAACCGAAAGAAGACTGCGGTCTGGGCGCCTCGAACCCACGACCACCGAGTGCGCGCCCGCGCGCCTCACGACTACGCCATCGCACCGACGATGCTGTGAAATGAGGCAAGTCTCTGGTCAAGTCAACTCTACCCGCACATAGTCTTGGGGGGGCTTCCTTCGAGTACACGCTGTCATCCTGACACCCCCATTCCTGTGCTGGTTGTTAACAGGATCGCATCACAGAATCACTTCGCCGGGCTCGAGGTCGAGGAGGGACAGGAGGAAGAGGTAACTGGCCAGGGCGAACAGGGACCGGAGGAATCGGGGGAGGAAGACGCTGGTGATAAGGCGGATGACGAGGACTCGGAGGACTCGGAGATGGAATCGGAGGCGGCCGCGAAAACGGAGGTCATCAAAATTGAAAGCGAGGACGAGTCGGTCTTGGAGGACTGCAGCGGATCCGATGGAGAGGTGATTGATGAGAATGAGGTGATGGCGGATGAAAGAGGTGAAACGGAAGGAGAGGTGGCTACGGAGATGGAGGAAGAGGAGGTGGCGACGGAGGTGGGCGATGTGGACGAAGCGAGGGGATCGACGAAAGCGGAGAATGCGGAAGCGACGGACTTAGGGGAAACAAACAGGCTGTGTCAGGATGACAGCGTGTACTCGAAGGAAGCCCCCCCAAGACTATGTGCGGGTAGAGTTGACTTGACCAGAGACTTGCCTCGTTTCACAGCATCGTCGGTGCGATGGCGTAGTCGTGATGTCAGGAGCACAGCCTGCACTGCCATCAATACTCGAAGGAAGTCTCCCAAGTTTGCGGCCGGAGTCGACATCAGCTACCGGTTTGTTCGTTGCAAGCATTGTCGGCGCGATGGTGTAGTCGTGAGGGCGCGCGGGCGCGCACTCAGTGGTCGAGGGTTCGATCCGCCCGGAGCGTGATCTGCCTTTTGGTTTCTTTTCCTTTTTGTTATCCGAGGCCCGGCTTCGGGGTTTTTACCGGTGCCTTGCAGGCAATCCTTTTTACCCCTGAAGCGACCTCGTGGTGTAGTTATTTGATTCAGTCTTTCCTTCGCTGGGAGCACTTCCCTCCCTTTGCTTTTGCCACCCTTCCCCTAGAGCTTGGTCCACTCATTATCATGACTCGTACCCTCCCTCTTTTTACCCATTTCGCTGGCAATTAAGTCCGTTACACTTGATTTGCTGCGAAGCCTTCCGACCGAATCCACTCCTCGGTTGCTCTCGGTCGACTGCCGCCGCCCAGCCGACTCGACCTTCCCATCGGCCTGGTCAGCTATTTCTTGGATCGTTTGCCCTTCCTCTTTTGTCCGACCTCGTTGGCCACCATAGTCCGGTACACTGGACTTGCTGCGAGCCTTGCAGCCGCGTATCCTCCGCGGTTGCCTCTCGGTCGACTTCCGCCGCCCAGCCGACTCGACCTTCCCACCGGCCTGGTCAGCTATTTCTTGGATCGTTTGCCCTCCCTCTTCTGTCCGACCTCGTTGGCTACCATAGTTCGGTACACTGGACTTGCTGCGAGCCTTGCAGCCGCGTATCCTCCGCGGTTGCCTCTCGGTCGACTGCCGCCGCCTCGGTCGACACCCCTTTCGCTCCTTCGCGCTTTCGCGCGCTCTCTCGCTCTCTCCCTCGTCTCTCGCGTGTAGTCATCGTCATCCCCTCCGACGTTGCCTGTCACTTGAGGCACGCGGGCGCGCACTCGGTGGTCGCGGGTTCGAGGCGCCCAGACCGCAGTCTTCTTTCGGTTTGTTTTATCTTTTTGTTAACCGAGGCGCGGCTTCAGGGTTTTTACCGGTGCTCCCGCGAGCAATCCTTTTTACCCCTGAGGCGACCTCTTGGAGTGGTTGATTTGGCTAAGTCCCCTCTGGGCCTGGCACAGTCCCTTCCCTTTAGTTTTACCACCTTTCCCCGGGAGCTTGGTCCGCTCTTCTCTTTTGTTGCCCCTCCTCTTCTTGTCGATCGTTTGGGAATTAAGTCCGTTACACTTGATTTCCTGCGAGCCTTTCGACCGACTCCCCTCCTCGGTTGCTCCCTTGTCGACTGCCGCCGCAACAGCCGACACTTCCAGAAATCCCCCCCCCGTACCAACGCGTGTAGACGACGTCATCCCCTCCGACGTCGCTTGTCAGGCTGGACAATGACGACGACAGCGACGCCACAGCAACCGCCGCCACCGCTTCCCGCGAATCGACGCCGCATGAACCAACCCCACCTCTGTCACCCGAAACTCTCGCCAAGTCGCTACGCGAGGGGGAGGAGTGGGACAGGATCAGAGCTAACTGGGTTGAGCAGGCACGACTTGAGCGGGACCAAAGCATCGAGAGGAGGCTCAACGCTGAAACCCCTTTGGTGCGTCACAACTTTGCCACGTGGGACGAGGACGGTGAGATACGCTCCATCAACATCAGGGGGACCGCTGCGAAGTTCAAGAAGCAGGTGATGAAGAGGTCGCAGACTGCGGCGGACCTCAGTGACCCAAGTGACGAACCGACCGACGCCAAGCGAGTCATCATCAAAGGGAGGAGCCGCGTCGTGGTGAAGGATGGAATAGAGGGGCGGAGGGTGACGAGGTCGATGTCGGCGGCAGCGGCGATGCAGGTCGAGGTGACGAAGGTGGACAGAGGGAAAGGAAGAGGGGTAGCTGAGGAAAAACGATGGTCCGACCACGAGCCCGAGGACGATGTCCTGCCCGCCCTTCCCCTCTTTGAGGATGTCACCACCGCCAAGAGCGCCTCGACCTCGACTACCCATTAATGATCAAGCACACCATCATCACCTGGAACGTAAGAAGGGGCATGGGGGTCCCGGAAAAACGATGTAATATCTACACCTACCTTTCCACATTCAAAGCTTCCGCAATTCTCTTACAAGAGCATTTCATCAGACCACAATTCTGGCAGCTCATCAAGGACGAGTACGAGGGCAAGCTCTTCATCAACCAGCACTGCCTGACCCTGATCCCGGCCGACTCGCCCCTGATCGACGCCGAGCTCTTGCGCACCCACTCGGCACTCGACGGCCGGCTCCTCGTCACCTCCTTTCGTCTGCGGGGCGACATCAAAATTCTAGAAATCAATAACCTCTACGCGCCCGTTGACCCAAAACAACGAGCAAAATTCTTCGACAAACTGATCCTCCACAAAACACAGAAATCCCACCTCCGACTCCTTGGCGGCGATCTCAACGACTGCCCGCGCCCAGAAGTCGATCGGCGGAACCAAAGTCGGCGCGGCCACCACTGGCCGATTCTGATGGGCAAGCTCGACTCGGCCTACACAGACTGCATCCGCTACAAGCACCCCATCACCCCATCTTTCACTCGACCTAATCCCAATCGCAAGCGACCCAACTCCTTCTCCCGGCTTGACTACTTTCTCCTACAAAGAGCTCACCAAAAAAGGCTCGACCAGGCCTCGACGATCTACGACTATCCCAAGGATCTTTCCGATCACCGACCGGTCTTGATCGTACTAGCTCTCTCAGACGATCTTGATGCGGCTCTCCCACAGCTCAGCCTACCTACCACATCCGACCAACTACATCGAATCAATACCACAACCTTCAAGACGGTGGAATTTCAGCGGATGATGGAAGGATGGTTGGAAGGGGCAAGCGGGGAGGATCTGGTGCGAGAGCTTGAGGAGGTTCTGGAGGCGTGCAGGGACAGGGGTGGGGAGATGGCGAGGAGGCTGCATCGGGAGCGGACGGAACGGATGGAGTATTTGGTGGGGAGGGTGCAGGATCTGGAGGCGTTACCGGTATGGGGGGAGGCGGAAACGGCAGAATGGACAAGGACGTCCGAGGAACTCAAGCGGGCGGTCGAGGAGCGCGCGCGCCTACTCCGGATCCGAGCCCACGTCCCCGAGATCGCTTCCGAGGAACGACTGTCGCGGCCGGTCCACGCCAAGCTCGCGGCGCGGAACTCGGACTCCAAGATCACAGCACTGCGCTTGGGTAACGGAGAGCTAACGCATGACATTGATGTCGCTCTTGACCACACGCAGGCGCATTTCCAGCGCCTCTACCACATCGAGCCTCGTGATCCGGAACGCGTCGACCGACTTCGGGACAAACTCCTCGTGCCGATCAGGGCGGCACGGACTTGCGACGACCCGCGCTCAGATCCGCTCTTTCTGCGCCGACTCTCGGAAGCGCAGATTGATCTCCTCCAGCAACCCATCACCGAGGACGAGGTCGTGGCCGCGATCGGGACGACGCACCCGGGGCGATCGCCGGGCCCGTCGGGCGTGCCTTACGAACTCTATCAGACCGCACCGGAGGCGTGGTCCAAGGTGCTGACCAAGGCCTACAACGCGATGATCGAGCGCGGTTCACTCTCTCCCAAGCAGGGCCAGGGACTCGTGCGCCTCATCTTCAAGCGCCACAAGAAGAATGCCGATCGCGCCGAACTCTCGTCGTATCGCCCCATCACCCTGCGCGAGTGCGATTACAAGATTTTTACCAAGGTCTACGTCGCCCGATCTCCTCCCGCCGCAGCAGCACGGCTTCGTCAAGGACCGCCGATCGGCCGACACTGCACTACACCTTCGTCTCCTGATCGAGGAACTTGGCGCGCGCAGGACCGAGTTCCCCGCGGCCGCGCTCTTGTCTCTTGACCAATCATCCGCCTACGACCTCGTCGAGCATGACTGGATCTTTGCCATCTTCGACGCTCTGGGCGCTCCTACCACCTTTCTTCGCGTGCTGAGGATGCTCTACTCGGGTGACTCGACCTCGGCGCGCTACATCATCAATGGGTTCCTGACGGCGCCGGTGCGACTGACGTGTGGGCTCGGCCAAGGGGACCCGGCGTCATCGTCGGTCTGGGACATCGTGTTTCAGCCGTTCCTGGATGCTCTACACCGTCGAAACATCGCGCTGAATCTCTCCATACCTGCACTTCATCCGTACCCACAGAGCCGCGCCATTACATCACTTGCATTTGCCGATGACGTTGTCGTCGCCGTCGCGGGCTTGGAGTCACTCAACTTGCTCGATGACCTGGCGCTCGACTGGAGGCATGCAACGAATGGCCGGCTCAACACGGACAAGACGGTCGTCCTACCGATTGGACGTCGCTGGGACCCTGGGGAACGGCCAATCGTCGTCAAGGCCGCAGGCGAGTCGCTCGAGTGGATCGGCCTCCCCTTCAACCCCAGCGGCGACACCGAACTCGCCTACGCGAATCTCATCGAACGGCTCGAGGCGACGCTGGAAGCGGTTCAGCATCGCTGGCTCACGCACCACACCCGTGCCTTTTACGTCAATCGGTACGCCATTCCCAAGATCCTGCATTTCCTTGCAGCCGACATCCCGCCGCCCGAAGTCGTCAAGAAGCTCGATGACATGCTCGTCGATTTCGTCCGTGGGGGCAAGGGCAGGACCAGCTACGGCAGAGACATTGTGTTCACCGCCAAGAACAAGGGGGGACTCGGGGTGATAAGGATGCGGGACGTTGTGGACGCGGTTGCGGCACGGCTCTGGGACGTTCTTCTCGGCGGTTCCGGCGCGATTTGGCAAGGACTTGCGCGCGCATCACTCCAGCGAGCTCAGCCCGACCTCGACCTGGCCACCGATCTCTGGCCACATCCATCCACTCCCATCCCCAACGACCTTCATCCCCGATGGCACGCCGCACTGGGCGTTCCGAAACTTCACGACGCGCAGGTCAACCCGAGGGCCTTGACCACCGCGAACTTGCTCGCGCTGCCCACCCTGCTCGGCAGCCTCCACACCCCCATCAGAGGGAGACAGACCATCGACGCGGTTCATGTACCTGACTACCTTCGTCTCCAGGGCTACCCGAAGGTGGCGGATCTCTATCGACGCGAGTTGTATGCGGGTGGGGGGTTTCACCTCTGGACGCCGCCGGCGGATGTGCTCGGCGACAACAGCGAGTACGATCGACGCGGGCTCCCGCAGCGACTGGCAATCGCGGCCTGGTACCGGTTCACTGTCGATCGACACAAGAACACCCCCTTGGCGGCGGGACGACTCAACGTGCCTCCCCGGATCGGCACCAGCGCACCACTCGAGGCGATCATCCCCAAGCCCGTGGCCCGCTTCGCAATGGAGCAGCGCCTTCCGGACCCGGTGCTTCCACAACAGGCGAGCCAGTATACGCTGCTGAACATGGCTCGCCCCTACACAGTCCGTCGCATCCGCCGGGTCCTGAACGCGAAGGCATTTACCAACATGCTCGGGCTCAAGGGACCACCGCAGCCGGACGACCTCAGGAGCTTCTGGAAGGCAGTCAACTCGAAGGCACTGACGGCGAGGGAGAGGGAAGTTTGGTTCAAGCTGATCCTCCGCTTCACCCCGACGCGCAAACTCCAGCACGAGCAAAAGCACGACACTTCTCCCGCGTGCCTCGTGTGCGAAGCGCCGGTGGACGACACCGATCACTACTTCTTCGGCTGCGTCGACTCGCGGAACATCTGGACCGCGGCAAGGGGCGTGCTCTGCGACGCGCTCGGATGCGACACGATCGAGGACGCCGAGTACACGACACTACAACGACTCTTTGGCCTCCCCAAGCTCAAGGCCAAGCTCAGCGAACAGGAAGGCGCAGGCAGGACGATCGAGATCTTCACGGGGATGGTCTTGGAGATGATCAGCAGTGGGAGATGGAGGATGCAGAAGCACGGGACGAGGATGGAAAGCCTGGAGCGGAGGAGGGTGGTACTGGAGGAGAGGATGAAGTTGAGGGCGGGGGGAGCAAGGGGCGGGCGAGGGCAGTAGAGGCTGGGTTCGATTTCCCCCCACCCGATCCCACACTCACACACCCCACATCACACATCCTCTTACAAAAACTGTATACTAAATATATTTTCTTCATCTTTCTTTCTTTTATTACAGGTCTGCCTCCGTTGCTCATGGACCGGCTCGCGATTTGGGATTGACTCGACGGTGGCTCGCGCTCTTTGGCTTCGGGGTTCTGAGTCAAGGGAGGGATCAGCAGACACAGGCAGAAAGTCGGCTTTGAGGGGCCAGGGACTGCTGAGGTGGAGGTTTTGAGGGGCCTCCACCGCGTCTTGTTGTGACCGAGCATAGACTTGGGGACTGTTGAACTTCGCTCCATCTCACTTCTAGGACAATATGCGCTCACTGAAGTAGAGGTGCCTCGCCTTTTGGTGCAGTGGTATATTGTTCTTTCATAGGGACTTCGCGGGTCAGGGTAGCTGCGCAGTCGCTCTCCTGTCTTTGTCTCGACCGAGTTGGGAAGTGGGTGCGGGGTGGGCCTCTTGTCGTTAGTACGCCAGTTCTTTTTCATTTTCTCTCTTTCTCTTCTCTCTCTCATTCGTCTCCTGGGGGGGAGCAACCGCTTGGCTGGGGCACTTGAATCCGAAGTATCGGATTGGTGGACTTGGCCCGTTTCTTGCATCTTGCGGGCGGTTTGTGTTATCATCGTCGACTTCCATCTAGTTTTTCCGTAGGCCAATCAGGGGGAACAGGACTTGGGGGCAATATGATGAACAGTTTCTACAAAAAAAAAATCCTTCGAGTATTGATGGCAGTGCAGGCTGTGATCCTGACAACAACGGTGTGCATCGAGTGCGACACTGCCCCGACGACGACGCCCGCAAACGTTACATCGAGCGACGCAACGGACACCAACGTCAAACCACGGCCCCACCCATTGCCCCACCGGAGGATGCACCCGTCGTAGCAACAATTTCAAGGTTTCAAGAACTCCCAGATCCTTCGACGTCCGGCGGCCAAAATTGGTAAAGTCCCCGCTCCGCCCACACACCCAGGTCTCACTACACCGGTCACTGCATTGTCGATTACACCACTTGCCAAAACCTCCTTTCGTGCTCTTCTGGAAGCGTTCGAACAAGGGGGGGTGTTGAATTTCATTCTACTACAAGCCTTCGAACACTTCAACCTTGCGCCACCATTTGTCAGGCCTGCCCATTTTCTCGCCTCGAGCGCCCTTTCGCCTCGGCGCATTCTCGCCTTCGCAGCTAAGCTGCCCCCTTTTCTCCGCCTCCGCGCATGCCTGCTCAACTCACGCTCGCGCGCCGCCGCCTCCACGCCGGGACTTAGTCAGCCTGCACTCTCCAGCTTTGCCAAGCCAACACCTCCGCCTCGCCACAGCCAATTTGCCACCGCCGACCTCATGATCCATCGGCCATTCAGAACATCGCCCATTCATGATGCCCATCGTTTGCAACCTGGAACTTGTCGTTACGGATCACCTCACTGAGCAACACTGGATCATGTAGATAAGTTTCCCTCGCGTTCGTCGTCCAACATGACATCTCTCAGAACCTCGATGGCCCACTTGGAGTTTGGCCCTTAGGGCTTCGCAGCGTGCTCCTCTGATTGGTAGAAATCCCCTCATGCGCCCGCTAGCTAGAACCTTGCCAGACTCGCGCTCTCCTGTGCCTTTCTTCCTCTTCTCTACCGCTTCCCAACATTAGCAAGACAGCTAATCTTCGGTAGAGAACAGTCCGTCCAGCCGTGCCACGTTCGTCTCGTCAGACCTCGTCCGTACCGCCTCACGACCTCTCCGCCCGGACCGTCCGTTGCAACCCAGCCACGTCGACGCTCCCACAGTAGCCCTAGCGGTCGCTACGCCAACCTCCCAAGGTCCTGCAGCCTACAAACAACATTCACCGCCTCGCGACTTCTCGACCGGGGAGCACTTTGCTACGTCGTCCTGCCTCGCAACCTCCCGAAACGATCCGGTCCGTGCCGCCTCACGATTCTCCAGCGACCCCCCGGTCCCAACTTAACACGTTCTTGGTTCGATGGGTAGGCCGTAACAACACCGACGATACTTGGATGTCAAAGCAGTCCCTTCGCCTTGACCATCCGTCCGTCCTCGACGCCTACTTCGCGCACCTCGATTGCTCGAACCGCCGCCTCGCCGCACGGTAGATGTCAGGATCACAGCCTGCACTGCCATCAATACTCGAAGGAATTTTTTTTTTTTTTGTAGAAAACGTTCATCATATTGCCCCCAATTCCTGTTCCCCCTGTTTCGGCCTACGGAAAAACTAGATGGAACACTACGATGATAACACAAACCGCCCGCAAAAGTGCGAGAAACGAGCCAAGTCCACCAATCCGAGATTCGGATTCAAATGCCCTAGCCAAGCGGTTGCTCCCCCCCAGGAGACGAATGAGAGAGAGAAGAGAAAGAGAGAAAATGAAAAAGAACTGGCGTACTAACGACAAGAGGCCCACCCCGCACCCACTTCCCAACTCGGTCGAGACAAAGACAGGAGAGCGACTGCGCAGCTACCCTGACCCGCGAAGTCCCCAAGTCTATGCTCGGTCACAACAAGACGCGGTGGAGGCCCCTCAAAACCTCCACCTCAGCAGTCCCTGGCCCCTCAAAGCCGACTTTCTGCCTGTGTCTGCTGATCCCTCCCTTGACTCAGAACCCCGAAGCCGAAGAGCGCAAGCCACACCGAGTCGACGCCAAATCGCGAGATGGTCCATGATCCGCAACGGTGAACCTGTAACAAAAGAAAGAGGAAAGCGAGCTATTTAGTGTACAGTAGGAGAAAATGATGTCACGAGAATTTGGTGTGTGTGTGGTGGTGGGGGGAAAGTCGAACCCAGCCTCTACTGCCTTCTCCTCCCCCAAGCTCCTCCCGCCCTCAGCTTCAACCTCTCCTCCAAGATTATCCTCCTCCTCCCAACACCTCCATCCTCGTCCCCCACTTCTGCATCCCCCACCTCCCGCTGCTGATCATCTCCAAGACCAGCCCGGTGAATATTTCGATCGTCCTCCCCGCTCCTTCTTGATCGCGCAGACTGGCCTTGAGCTTCGGAAGTCCGAACATGCGTTGAACGGCCGTGTAATGCGTGTTGTCGATCGTGTCGAGCCCCAGTGCGTCGCAGAGCACGCCCCTTGCCGCGATCCAAACGTTCCTAGAGTCAACACAGTCGAAGAAGTAGTGCTCCCGATCGTCCTTGGGTGCTCCACAGACGAGGTACGCGGGCGAGTCGTCGTGCTTTTGATGAAACTGCAGACTCCGAGTTGGGGTGAAGTTCCTGACGAGCTTGAACCACACCTCGCGTTCCCTCGCCGTCAATGCCTTCGAGTTGACCCCCTTCCAGAATCCCTTGAGATCGTCGGGCTGCAGCGAGTCCCTGAAACCGATCGTGTCGGTGAAGGCCTTTGCATTCAAGACTCGGCGGACGCGACGGATGGTGTATGGCCGATCCATGCTGAGCAAGTTGTATTGTGTTGATTGGTCTGGGAGAGCCGGTCTCGGAAGGCGCTGCGGCGGGTCGATCGGATGGGGCAGGATCGACTCGAGCGGCGTGGTGGGGCGGACTCGGGGAGGCCCGTTGATTCGTACTGCCGCCACCGGTTGAGCTATTGGTGTGAACCTCAATCGATTGATCGCATGTCGGTACCATGCCACGATGTGCTCTCGTTGTGGGCGGCCCCGTTGATCGTATTCGCTGTTGCTGACGACCACATCCATCGGCGGCGTCCAGAGATGATGTTAAGTCGTGTGTCTCGAGAGGGGACTGGATCGGCAACCAGTGAGTACACGAGACACAGTACGAGTGTTAGGAAGTAGTTTGGAGCGTTAGGGGGAAGACTAAAGAGGCTCGCGGTGCGAGTGCGCGAAATATCTCTAAGTCCAAAAGGGGTCCGAGCGGCGCGCGGCTGGCTAGGCTGGGCGCGGTATGAAGGAACAATATACCACTGCACCAAAAGGCGAGGCACCTCTACTTCAGTGAGCGCATATTGTCCTAGAAGTGAGATGGAGCGAAGTTCAACACCCCCCTGTGCGCGAAGCTGAAGAGCTTGTGGCAGTGGGTGCGGCTGTGAGGCAACTGGGCATGTTGATCAGGTCGCTTGGGCAAGTGCAGCTTGGGCACTGTGAGCACTGTCGATGCGCCAGGGTGCTTGGCACGCTGCTGGGCAAGTGCGGGGGCCGGGACGCTGAGTGTATGCGCGCAAAATTGCCTGACCCCAGGGGGGATTGAACTCATGACGCGGGCTGGAGATCGACCTAAGCAAGAGTGTATGGAATTCAACACCCCCCCTCGCTCGAAGCTTACTTAGCCTCGAAGACCCAGGTTGTCACGATGTACCTTGAACACCAAGGGTCCAAGTGCCTTGGTGAAGATGTCGGCGACCATGGTTTTCGTGTCCACATAGTCGACTTGGATGGTGCCCAGCCTGACCTGGTCGCGTACAAAGTGCTCACGAATGCGAATGTGACGGGACCGGTGGTGAAGGGTGGGGTTCTTGGCGAGAGCAATAGCACCTTGGTTGTCGCCGTACAGCTGGACGGGAGCTCGTGTGTCGATGCCCAGTTCCATAAGCAGTTCTTGCAGGTGACCAGCTTCCTTGGAGGCGTGTGAGAGGGCGAGGTACTCGGCGTCTGTGGTGGAGTCGGCCACACGGTTTTGCACTTTGGAGGACCAAGAGATGACAGATCCGGCCAGGTGGAAGCTGTACCCCATGGTCGACCGTGACGATGTGGTGCAGGTTCCCCAGTCTGCATCAGAGTAACCGGTGAAGCCTGAGAACTTGCCTTGTTCAGAGCTGTAGTGCAGGCCTAGACGTGCGGTTCCACGTAAGTACCGAAATACGGTCTTGATGGCCGTCCAGTGTTCGGGTGTGGGACTGGCAGAGAAGCGTGCGAGGTATCCGACAGCGTAGGAAATGTCCGGGCGAGTACCGGTGGCGGCGTACAGGAGGCATCCAATAGCCTGCATGTAGCGTGTCCGAGCAGTTTTGGATGTTTCCGCGAGCGAATGTTCGAGCTGTCGGTTCGGGGCCATGGGTGTGGAGGCGGGGCTGCTGTCTGACATGCCAAATCTGCGGAGGATGCTCGTGATGTACGCCTCTTGTGACAGGATGATGGACTTGTCGGCCTGTCGCTTGATCTGGATCCCCAAGATGTACTGGGCTGGGCCAAGTCACTTGATGCCGTATTTTTGCTCCAGGCCGTTGAGGATGCGCTCAATCTCGTCCTCCGAGGGGCTGACCATCAGCAAGTCGTCGACGTAGAGGGCGATGTAGTGGTAGTGGTCGCCGTCGCGTCGTACGTACACGCAGTGGTCCTTGGCTGTGGCGCGGTAGTGGAGGCTTTTCAGCGTCAAGTCAATGTGCTCGTTCCAGACTCGGCCGGCCTGCTTGAGGCCGTAGATCGATCGATGGAGCTTGAGGACTTTACCGGGCATGTCAACACCTTGTGGGACGCGCATGTAGAGGTCTTCCTTCAGCTCGCCGTGGAGGTACGCCTTGTCAACGTCGGCCTGATGGACGTGGAGTTTCTTGGCGGCGGCCAGGGCGATGAGAGCTCGGATGGAGGTGAACTTGGCAACAGGGGCAAAAGTCTCGTCGTAATCGATACCTGGGCGCTGGGAGAATCCCTGTGCAACGAGCCGGCCCTTGTGCGAAGTGATCTTGCCAAGTTGGTCGCGTTTGGTGCGGAAGATGAACCTGGATCCGAGGACTTTGGCGCCAGGGGGCAGTGAGGAGGAGTCAACAGGGGTGAAGCATTTGTACTCGGTGGTAAGGGAGTGAAACTCGTCGGCTGCTGCTTGCCTCCAGATCTCCTCTTTACCTGACTTGACCGCCTGCGACCAATTCTGGGGGTCCTCGGTTGGCCCTTCGAGTTCGACGACCGGTGAATCTGCAGTGGTGGCGGCAAAGGCAGCGGCGCGAGACGGGCATGACAGGAAGTCGATGGGGTCGGCCGAGTCATCGGTCACGTCCGACGCAGGAGGTGACAGCGAGAACTGAGCCATGGACATGTCGGACGGGGTATCAAAACCATCATCGGACATTTCGATTGTTGCGTCGTCGCTCGCGTCGGTCTCAAGTGCGGCAAATCGATTTTCGTGCACGACGGGCGGGAGTGACAGACGTGGGACAGTGCGGGAGCCATGTGCAGCGTCAACGAAGGTCCAGTCGCCAGCAGTGGACGTCGCGCGAGGCTTCGGTTGGCCAGTCGGGGCATCTCGAGCGGGGAAGACGTTCTCATCGAATCTGACGTCGCGGCTCTGGAAGAACGAAGTTGTTTCTGGGTCGTACAGCGTCCAGGCCTTGGTTTTGTTTTCGATGCCGACAAAGATGAATGGTTTGGCCTTGGGGTCGAGTTTTGCCCGCTTGTGCCGAGGGGTGGTGTCAGGCAAACAGCGATACACTGACAGCAACACTCGAAGGAAGTCCCTGAGGTAATGTGCAGGTAGAGTTGAGGTCACCAAATGCTTCCCTCCATTCAAGCATTGTGGGCGTGATGGCGTAGTCGTTCGGCGCGCGGGCGCGCACTTAATGGTCGCGGGTTCAAGGCGCGCAGAGCGCAATCTTCTCTCGGTTTTTGTTCTTTTTGTTAGCTGAGGCGCGGCCTCAGGGTTTTTACCGGTGCTCCCGCGAGCAATCCTTTTTCCCCCCTGAGGCGACCTCTTGGAGTAGCTGAATTGGCTAAGTCCCCTCTGCGCCTGAGTGCCTCCCTTTTGTTTTTAGCACCTTCCCACTCAGCCTGGTCCGCTACATCTCCCAAGATCCCTTCACCTTCATCCTTCGTTTTCGATCTCGTTGGCAATAAAGTCCGATATACTTGACTTGCTGCGAGCCTCACAACCGCGTCCCCTCCTCGGTTGTCCCTCGGTCGCCTGCCCCCGCCCAGTCGACCTTCCTTCGGCCTGATCCCCTCCTCCGCGTGTAGTCAACGTCTTCTGAAGAGGACGTTGCCTGCCACTTTTTTCAAGTCCGGCACCGCCAACCTTCGATCTCGCTTGCCCTTGCTCTATCCTGCATCCTGGACGAGCAATCGTCCACTACCCCTGAGTCGTCAGCTTCCTCCCCGTTGCCGAACTCATCCCCCGCTGACGCGTCGTGGTCATTCGCCACCTCATTCACTGAGTCCGACGACGAACGCGTCATCCCTTCGTACCCCTTCTTCCATCCTTCTCGAGCTCGCATCCGTTCTCCCCACAACCGCCAACCGCTACGCCGCGAACTCGCCATGGCCGAACCCACCGACACGTCGCGAGACACCACCGCCCCCGTCCGCGAAGACCCCTCGCGCGCGAATCCGCCTAAGTCCCCGCCGACGCATTCGCCGCACCCGCTCCAGGCCGCCGCCGTCATCACGTCCCTTGAATCCCGCCTCGCAGAATCGGAAGCCCTGCGCCGCGACTCGGAGACACGCATCCGCAAATTGGAGCAGATGGTGGAACGATTGATGAGAGAATCCACCGCACCTGCTGGGGCGCAGGTCGGGGAGGCTCTGCCGGTGAGACCGGTCCCCCTGGACGTCCCCCCGCACACATTTTTGGGACGCCCGGGAGCTGCCGCTGACCCCCTTGCTCGTACCCCTGGGGGGGAATCTCACAGCGGAATTAGGGACGGCCCTTCCTCGGCGGTGATTAGCTCTCGTTGGAGAGGGACATTGCCGGACCGGGAAGGGTTATGGACCGGAGATCATCCGGAAAGGTTGGTGATTTTCACTGCGTTTGGGGAGTCGTATCTTTCTCTCTTGTGCGACATCTCCACCTCCGACCTTTTCGACACGAGCCGAGTGATCCAGCTTGTGGCGACGCTATTTTTTCGTACGACAACCCGACAGCGCCGCCAATCCCCGCTCGATTGGGCCGTCGAGGCGATGAGGGACGCGCTTGGAGAAGGGCGCCCTCATTGTTGGACGTCGCTCATGAAGGCAGTGGGACGTCGTTGGCCCGACCCCGGGTTCGCCGATAGAGTGGCTCAAGACTTCCACGGATGTCGCCAGTCGTCGTCTCGGGCTTACGACCATGTCGGGGAGTGGCGGGCGCGGTACCGTGCCTTCGTGCACGACAACGATAGTTTCACCCTGTCGCCGCTTCAGCTCGCCACGACCTTCTACCAATCGCTCAGTGACTCCTCCAAGCGGGAAGTGCGGGCGGGAATGTTACGTGAATACCACGACAACTCGCTGGTGACAATTGGGCGATTCGGACTGAAGGTCCCGTCCATCGACGAGATTACCGAGTGGGCCGCTATCGCCGACGACATTTCTCCTCCGCCTTCGGTTCCGACCCCACCAAGCCGCACCGCGACCTATGGCGCGATCGTCAAAGCTCCCCGAGTGAGCCCACCTGCGACCAACACGCCCACCGTCGACGAGAGGTTCCCGATCCGACGAGCTCGATGGGTCGACCGCGCTACTAAGTGGCAGCAATCGCACTTGTGGAAGGACCGCTCCACCTGGTTTTCCCCGGCGCCCAGCGGGGTACCCACCAGCATGGCTTGCTTCAACTGCGGACGAGGCGGTCATTTCTCGCAGCACTGCACCGCGGAGCGTCAATCCCCGGTCGCCGTCCAACTCTCAGCGGTCGCTGTGGCCGACTTGGATGACGAAGATTGGTCCTCGGTCGCAGGTGGTGACGAGGATCCCGAGGTGAGAGTCCCCATTTCACTCGAGCGTGTTCAGACTCGACCTTTGAGTTCCGTTTCCGCTTCAATGACGCGCCCTTCTTGCCCTCCCGCAGACCCCGTTGGCCGAATGAAAGAAGGGGCTTCTTCTTCAGTCGACGTCGAAGTCTCATCAAGTAATCCGCAGCCAACCGCGCCGGCAAGTGATGCAGATCTACGTCGTCTTGCCGATGACTCGACCGACTCTGCGTTTGACGCGGTGGAAGACGTCCCCTCTTATGCTGATGCCGCGTCGCGAATGCGGCGATACTGGGGGCCGGAGGTGGTGTCGTCGCGCAAAGCGGAGAGGACTGCATCGGTGAGCTCTGTTCGTGTTCCGGTGCCGTTGGGGGTTTCTCTCTTGGAGTCCGACACGCCCCTGATCGACGTCGACGACTTCGCCCGACCCGCCGAGCCCGCGATTGTGCGCGCCCGCAATATTATTGCGTGGACGTTGCCGTCTGGGCGAACGCTGCGTTGCCTCGTCGACTCTGGTTCGGAAGTGGACTTGGTGGATCAGGATGTCGTGCGAACAGACCCGAGTTTCACGACGTCCCGCCTTACCGCGCCGCTGCACTTGCGCCTCGGCACTCGCGACAAATCTGACCGCTGCGCCGTGTTTGCCAACGCCCTCTTCACGTCCGGTTCCCTCGACCTCGGCTTGCGGGCGTTTTTCATTTGCCGTGTGACGGCATATGATGCTATCCTGGGTTTGCCGTTTCTGAAGGACACCGGCATGCTGGTAGGCTGGGGCGTCTTCACCGTCGCACGGCCGGGCCCTTCGCAGCCGGTCGCCAAGGGCACTCACGAGTGGGATCGCGCAGTCACGGTGGCGCCCATCTGCTCCGGCTCTGCCATTGGCTACGATCACCCAGGGTTGCTTCCTGACGACGAGATCATTGGCCTCGAGCCGCACAACCCTCTACTGGATGTCGTCGACGACCCGGCGCTCGAGGATTTGTCTGAGTCCGAAGCACGAACACGATTGGCTGCCTTACTCGAGAAATACTCTGATGTGTTCGTAGATTCGCTCCCAATGGACCGACTCCCGCCTTATCGACCCGTCAATCACGAAATCCCTTTGATCGACCCCAACGAGAAGGTCAAGCCGAGGGTCTATCCCCTTGCCGACAAATATCGTAGCCAGTGGGCGGAGCATTCAGCTAAGTACACTCGCGGTCGCTTCTGGGTTTCTGGTCCGATCGACTCTGCGGCTCCGGTCTTCGCCATTCCGAAAAAGAACTCCCAGACCGCTCGCTTTGTGATCGACCTCCGCGCTCGCAACAGCAACACCGCCAAGCGTTTTTCACCTATCCCCGACATGACCAGTGTTCACTACGAAGTGGCACGTTCGCGCTACCGGTCCAAATTCGACGTGGCCGCAGCGTTTGAGCAGGTGCGGGTCATACCCGAGCACGTCGATCGCACCGGCTTCGCCACGGTCACGGGCACGTACACGTCGCGGGTGATGCAGTTTGGGGACACCAATGCGCCCAACACCCTGAACTTGTTGACATCGGCGATGTTTCAGCCGTGCCTCTCGTTTGCCAAGATCTTTTTCGACGATGTTCACGTCCATTCCGATACTCGTCGCGCGCACTTAAGACACATCGAGATTTTGCTGATGACACTGCGACATTATCGGTTCTACTTAGGATCCAACAAATCCGAGTGGTTCTCAAAGTCGTTAGATTCCTTGGGCGCGATCATCTCCGACGACGGCATCGAGGTCGACCCGGCCAAGTGGGAGCGTATCCGACAGTGGCCGACTCCACACAACAAGACCGACGTTCAGCGTTTCCTCGGCACCGTGAATTGGATGCGAGATCACCTGCCCCACCTCTCGATCACCTTGGAGCCCATCACCGCATTATTAGCGCAATCGACGTCGTGGCGTTGGAACGAGCGCGAGCAGCAGGCCTTCGACACCGTCAAGTCCCTCGTGCCAGCAACACTGCGACCGATCGACGGCGCTAAGGTCACCTCCGGCGAGCACAAAATCTACTTGTTCACCGATGCCAGTCGTGTTGGCATTGGCGCTTGCCTGGCCTCGGGCCCCACTCGTTCGCAGGCCATTCCTACGCGATTCTTCTCCGCTAAGTTCAATGGCGCTCAGCTCAATTATCACGTCACTGATAAGGAGTTCTTAGCCGTCGTTTCGGCGTGTCGGGCGTTCGAGCAGCACTTGATCGGTTACCCCTTCGTCATCGTCACCGACCACCAAGCCCTTCGCACGATTAAAACGCAGAAGTTACGCCAAACACCCCGGCACATCCGCATGTGTCTCGAACTCAGCCGTTTCGACTTCGAATTCGAATTCATTGCGGGCAAGAACAACTCCCTTGCCGATTCGTTGTCACGCTTGTGGGAAGTCAAGGAGGGATCGCCCGAGGATCAGGTCAAGGAGAATGAGTTGGAGGATATGTTCTTTGATGGAGAACGCCACGGATTCACTACACACGGTGAGAGCCTCCCTGAGGAACGTCCTTACACCTCACCATCTCCCGATCGGTTGCCTCCTGTTGATTTTGCCTTCGGGCCCCAACGCGACGATTGCGAGGCAGGCTCTCCCGGATACTACGCGCTCAAGGACGAATCGCAAGACGAGGACGTGAATGGACGGGATTTAGGGAATTTGTTCTTGAAGGAAGAATGCCACGAGTTCACTACACCTGGTGAGAGCCTCCCTGAGGAACGTCCTTACACCTCACCTTCGCACGATCGGTTGCCCCCTGTTGATTGTGCCTTCGGGCCCTGGGATCACGGCTACGACGCAGGCTCTCCCGGTTCCTGTCAGGAGCACAGCCTGCACTGCCATCAATACTCGAAGGAAGTCTCCCAAGTTTGCGGCCGGAGTCGACATCAGCTACCGGTTTGTTCGTTGCAAGCATTGTCGGCGCGATGGTGTAGTCGTGAGGGCGCGCGGGCGCGCACTCAGTGGTCGAGGGTTCGATCCGCCCGGAGCGTGATCTGCCTTTTGGTTTCTTTTCCTTTTTGTTATCCGAGGCCCGGCTTCGGGGTTTTTACCGGTGCCTTGCAGGCAATCCTTTTTACCCCTGAAGCGACCTCGTGGTGTAGTTATTTGATTCAGTCTTTCCTTCGCTCGGAGCACTTCCCTCCTTTTGCTTTTGCCACCCTTCCCCTAGAGCTTGGTCCACTCATTATCATGACTCGTACCCTCCCTCTTTTTACCCATTTCGCTGGCAATTAAGTCCGTTACACTTGATTTGCTGCGAAGCCTTCCGACCGAATCCACTCCTCGGTTGCTCTCGGTCGACTGCCGCCGCCCAGCCGACTCGACCTTCCCATCGGCCTGGTCAGCTATTTCTTGGATCGTTTGCCCTTCCTCTTTTGTCCGACCTCGTTGGCCACCATAGTCCGGTACACTGGACTTGCTGCGAGCCTTGCAGCCGCGTATCCTCCGCGGTTGCCTCTCGGTCGACTTCCGCCGCCCAGCCGACTCGACCTTCCCACCGGCCTGGTCAGCTATTTCTTGGATCGTTTGCCCTCCCTCTTCTGTCCGACCTCGTTGGCTACCATAGTTCGGTACACTGGACTTGCTGCGAGCCTTGCAGCCGCGTATCCTCCGCGGTTGCCTCTCGGTCGACTGCCGCCGCCTCGGTCGACACCCCTTTCGCTCCTTCGCGCTTTCGCGCGCTCTCTCGCTCTCTCCCTCGTCTCTCGCGTGTAGTCATCGTCATCCCCTCCGACGTTGCCTGTCACTTTTTTCAAGTTCGGCATTGCTAGCGACAGTCCCAGCTTCTCTCACCGCTCAGTCCCACACCCTGGACGAGCATTCCCGCCCTCCCGCCCTTCGTCTTCGCGTCGTCCGCCTCCTCTCCGTTCGGCCTCTCGAGTTCGGCCTCTTTGACGACCGCGTGGTTCCTCCCCCCCACCCCCCCACACCTCCCCCACCCCCCACCCCCCCACCTCTTCTTACCGTCTCGTGACCGCCCTCGTTCGCCCTGGAATCGCTGTTGACTGTGAGTTGAGTGATCGCCATGGCCGCCGAGTGTGACACGTCGCGCGCCGCTGCCGCAGCCAGCGCGCCGCGCCTCTTCGCAACCGCGACCCCGGCCGCGCGAACCCGCCCAAGTCCGCCTGCCACCACACTCGTTTCGCACCGCCGCCGCCTTATTGCATGGTCGCCTCGTGCCCGCCTCGTTCGTCCTGGAATCATCGACTGTCGTGTTGAGCGATCGCCATGGCCACCGAGCGCGACACGTCCTGCGCCGCTGCCGAAGACGGCCCGCCGTCCCCTTCCGCCAATCCGACCCCGGCCGAGCACGGCCAACTCCGACCGACCCGGCCGCGCGAAACCGCCTAAGTCCGCCCGCCGCCCAACTCATTCCGCACCGTCACCGCCTCGCCGCACGGTAGACTTCCTTCTGGGGGGGATAGTGTCAGGAGCACAGCCTGCACTGCCATCAATACTCGAAGGAAGTCTCCCAAGTTTGCGGCCGGAGTCGACATCAGCTACCGGTTTGTTCGTTGCAAGCATTGTCGGCGCGATGGTGTAGTCGTGAGGGCGCGCGGGCGCGCACTCAGTGGTCGAGGGTTCGATCCGCCCGGAGCGTGATCTGCCTTTTGGTTTCTTTTCCTTTTTGTTATCCGAGGCCCGGCTTCGGGGTTTTTACCGGTGCCTTGCAGGCAATCCTTTTTACCCCTGAAGCGACCTCGTGGTGTAGTTATTTGATTCAGTCTTTCCTTCGCTCGGAGCACTTCCCTCCTTTTGCTTTTGCCACCCTTCCCCTAGAGCTTGGTCCACTCATTATCATGACTCGTACCCTCCCTCTTTTTACCCATTTCGCTGGCAATTAAGTCCGTTACACTTGATTTGCTGCGAAGCCTTCCGACCGAATCCACTCCTCGGTTGCTCTCGGTCGACTGCCGCCGCCCAGCCGACTCGACCTTCCCATCGGCCTGGTCAGCTATTTCTTGGATCGTTTGCCCTTCCTCTTTTGTCCGACCTCGTTGGCCACCATAGTCCGGTACACTGGACTTGCTGCGAGCCTTGCAGCCGCGTATCCTCCGCGGTTGCCTCTCGGTCGACTTCCGCCGCCCAGCCGACTCGACCTTCCCACCGGCCTGGTCAGCTATTTCTTGGATCGTTTGCCCTCCCTCTTCTGTCCGACCTCGTTGGCTACCATAGTTCGGTACACTGGACTTGCTGCGAGCCTTGCAGCCGCGTATCCTCCGCGGTTGCCTCTCGGTCGACTGCCGCCGCCTCGGTCGACACCCCTTTCGCTCCTTCGCGCTTTCGCGCGCTCTCTCGCTCTCTCCCTCGTCTCTCGCGTGTAGTCATCGTCATCCCCTCCGACGTTGCCTGTCAGTTCCCATCGTCTGGCCGAGAACATTATGGACGCCGTCGACTCTTCTACCGGTCCCCTTTCTCCTCCCATCGCCGTCAATCGAGTTCATGCTATCGCCGCGGCCCCCGCCAACGACGCGCCCATTCCAGTCGATGCCGACGCCGATGAACTCGACTTACTGGGAGCCGCCGCCGATGAGGTCAACGACGCCCCTGTAGTCCATCGACCGCCCGACCCGCTGCCGCAACCTTTCCTCGACGCCGTCATCCGAGCCTACGCCCACGATTCGCAAGCCCAAGTCATTGTTGACGACCCGCTGTCATGGCCGATGTTTCGGGTGACCGAGGAAGGGAGGATCTTGCGTGTACATCCAGATGAGTCTCTTTCCCTGTTTGTGCCTCGCGGTCTCGCTACCGGCGTTGTCGACTCCGACAAGCTCCCATCGCTGCGCGAGCTCGTGCTTTCGGAGATCCATCGGAGCGTCGGGCACGCGGGACATCGCATCACCTTGGCCGCCATACGTCCTTTGTATTGGTGGTCGTCCATGTCTGCCGATTGCGCCAAGTTCTGCCATTCATGCGAAGATTGTGCCCGAGGCAAAGCGTCCACTCAAGTCCCTTATGGCCGACTGCATCCGATGCCGATCCCTTCTGGCCCATGGGAACAAGTGGCCATCGACTTCATGACGGGACTGCCTCCGGTCGAGTTCGAAGGGATGATGGTCGCTCAAATCATGGTGGTCACTGACACTTGGGGCAAGATGGTCCACCTGATTCCCCTCCCAGCCGACGCCGACTCCGAGCTCGTTGCCGACAGGTACTACGCCACCATCTTTCGACTGCATGGGACGCCTTCCGCCATCGTTTCCGATCGCGATCCCAAGTTCACCTCGCAGTTTTGGCGAGCATTGCAGGCGAAGGTCGGCACCGTCTTGCGGATGTCAACAGCGGCGCACCCAGAGACCGACGGATCGAGTGAGAACCGAATCAAGATGGTCACCCAAACCCTGCGCATCATGGTGTCGTCAAACCACGAGGCTTGGGCATCTCGTCTTGTTGAAGCTGAGTTCGCTCTTAACTCTTCCGTTGCTGTTTCCACGTCTCTGTCGGCTTTCGAGGCGACTTACGGTTACCTTCCTCGACGCTGGCCCACCGATTCCTGGTCTGTCTCGGACGTCCCGCGTGCGGAAGCGTTTGCCCGAATCCGACAGTTACGGAATCTCGACGTCACGGATGCGATCATTGGTGCACGCCTCGATCAGACTCACCAGGCCAACAAGCATCGACGCCCGGATGATCCCGCCTTTCGGACCGGCAGTTATGTCTATCTTTCGACCAAGAACCTGGCAGTTCCTGAAGGGATGAAGTCGAAGTTGTTGCCGCGCTACATTGGTCCTTTCCGTATCCGAGCGGCCATTCCAGCGACGTCCAGTTACGACCTCGAGCTTCCCCCAGCAATGTCGCGAGTGCACAGTCGCTTCCATGCTCGACTGCTTCGCCCCTATGTTGAGAACGATGCTGAGAGGTTCCCTGGGCGTGACCCCGCAGTTCTTTTTGTTGAAGATGTAGCCGACGCGGCCGACAACTCCGCCATTCCGGAACGGATTGTTCGCGATCGTCGGAACGCTCGGGGCAATCGTTCGTTCTTGGTTCGATGGATTGGCCGTAAGGACATCGATGACACTTGGATGTCAGAGCAGTCCCTCCGCTTCGACCATCCATCCCTACTCGACGCCTACCTGGCACAACTCGATCGCTCAAATCGCCGCCTGTCCTCCCGGTAGACTTCCTTCTGGGGGGGACAATGTCAGGCAAACAGCGATACACTGACAGCAACACTCGAAGGAAGTCCCTGAGGTAATGTGCAGGTAGAGTTGAGGTCACCAAATGCTTCCCTCCATTCAAGCATTGTGGGCGTGATGGCGTAGTCGTTCGGCGCGCGGGCGCGCACTTAATGGTCGCGGGTTCAAGGCGCGCAGAGCGCAATCTTCTCTCGGTTTTTGTTCTTTTTGTTAGCTGAGGCGCGGCCTCAGGGTTTTTACCGGTGCTCCCGCGAGCAATCCTTTTTCCCCCTGAGGCGACCTCTTGGAGTAGCTGAATTGGCTAAGTCCCCTCTGCGCCTGAGTGCCTCCCTTTTGTTTTTAGCACCTTCCCACTCAGCCTGGTCCGCTACATCTCCCAAGATCCCTTCACCTTCATCCTTCGTTTTCGATCTCGTTGGCAATAAAGTCCGATATACTTGACTTGCTGCGAGCCTCACAACCGCGTCCCCTCCTCGGTTGTCCCTCGGTCGCCTGCCCCCGCCCAGTCGACCTTCCTTCGGCCTGATCCCCTCCTCCGCGTGTAGTCAACGTCTTCTGAAGAGGACGTTGCCTGCCAGGTGGTGTGCCAGGCGCGGCAGCCGAATGCTCTCAGGTTTGCCGTGCTGGGAGGTTTGCCATACCAGATAGTGTCCGGGATTTTGTGATCGATGGCGCTGTGCGGGCTGAGGTTTTTGGTGTCAACAACGTACCGGAGGGCCTCGCGCCAGAGTGTCATGGGCAGTCCCTGTAGAGTGTAGGTCGTGGAACTTTTCGGAACTGGGTGTAGCGACCGCTGGGGCTACTGTTGGGCGCGTCGACGTGGCTACGGTTGCGACGGACGGTCCGATTGGGAGAAGTCGCAAGGCGGCACAGACGCGGTCTGACGAGACGGCGGTGCGGCTGGACGATCTGTTCTCTACCGAAGATTAGCAGTCTGGCTAATGTTGGGAAGCGGTAGAGAAGAGGAAGGGAAGCACAAGGAGCGCGAGTCTGACAAGGTTCTAGCAAGCGGGCGCGCAAAGGATCTGTCAGGATGACAGCGTGTACTCGAAGGAAGCCCCCCAAGGCTATGTGCGGGTAGAGTTGACTTGACCAGAGGCTTGCCTCGTTTCACAGCATCGTCGGTGCGATGGCGTAGTCGTGAGGCGCGCAGGCGCGCACTCGGTGGTTGCGGGTTCGAGGCGCCCAGACCGCAGTCTTCTTTCGGTTTGTTTTATCTTTTGTTAGCCGAGGCGCGGCTTCAGGGTTTTTACCGGTGCTCCCGCGAGCAATCCTTTTTACCCCTGAGGCGACCTCTTGGAGTGGTTGATTTGGCTAAGTCCCCTCTGGGCCTGGCACAGTCCCTTCCCTTTAGTTTTACCACCTTTCCCCGGGAGCTTGGTCCGCTCTTCTCTTTTGTTGCCCCTCCTCTTCTTGTCGATCGTTTGGGAATTAAGTCCGTTACACTTGATTTCCTGCGAGCCTTTCGACCGACTCCCCTCCTCGGTTGCTCCCTTGTCGACTGCCGCCGCAACAGCCGACACTTCCAGAAATCCCCCCCCCCGTACCAACGCGTGTAGACGACGTCATCCCCTCCGACGTCGCTTGTCACTTTTTTCAAGTTCGGCATTACCGACAACGATCCGCACCTCTACAACCGCTTCGTCCACCGTCCTGGACGAGCATTCACCCCCATTCTCTGAGCCTGAGTCTTCAGCCTCCTCTCCGTTGCCGAATTCATCACCAACGAACGCGTCGCTGTCCTTCCCGACTTCCTCCACAGAGTCCGACGACGAACACGTTGATCCTTCCTACCCTTTCCGTCAACCGTCTCGTGCCCGCGTTCGTTCGCCCCGCAATCGCCAACGTTTGAGTCACGAGATTGCCATGGCCGACGAGCGCGACGTGTACCGCGCCGCCGCCGATGATCGAGACACTCCTCTCCGCGACGAAGACCCCGGCCGCGCGAAACCGCCCAAGTCCCCGCCGCCCCAACCCTACCACACCGCCACCGCTCTATCGTCCCTCGAAAGCCGCCTCGAGGAATCCGAAGCCCGTCGTATCGACTCCGAGGCACGTGTTCAGCAATTGGAGAAGTTGGTGGAGGGTTTATTGAAAAGCTCACCTGAACCAGCTGCGGCGCGGGCCGGAGTCTCTGAACCAGCTGTGGCGAGGGCTGGATTCTCTGAACCAGCCGCAGCACGGGCTGGGGAGTTTACATTTACGCCGGTGAGATTGGTCCCCTTGGACGTTCCCCCACACACCATTCTGGAACGTTCAGGCAATACCGCTGACCCCCTTGTTCGTTCCCCTGGGGGGGAATCTCACAGCGCACGAAGGGACGGCCCTTCCTCGGCAGTAATCAGCTCTCGTTGGAGAGGGACGTTACCTGACCGGGAAGGGCTATGGACAGGGGATAACCCGGATTGGTTGGTCACTTTCACTACATTTGGGAAGTCGTACTTGTCTCTACTTTGCGACATTTCCACCAGCGACCTTTTTACCAGCGACCGCGTCATCCAGCTTGTGGCGACCTTGTTCGTTCGTTCCACTTCTCCCAAGCACCGTCAGTCTCCGCACGACTGGGCCGTTGATACTATGACGGACGCGCTCCGGGACGAACGACCTCACTGCTGGACGACACTGATGACAGAAGTTGGACGTCGTTGGCCGGATCCTGGCTTTGCCGACCGAGTGTCCCACGACTTCTACGGGTGCCGACAGTCTTCGTCTCGAGCCTACGACCATGTGGGCGAATGGCGTGCCCGCTACCGAGCGTTTATGCACAACGACCCCAGCTTCAGCCTCTCGTCCCTTCAACTCGCCACAACCTTTTATCAATCGTTGAGTGATGTGGCTAAGCGGGAAGTGCGGGCTGGTATGCTGCGGGAATATCGGGATAACTCACTCGTGACTATAGGGAGGTTCGGACGAACTGTCCCGTCCCTCGAGGAGGTTACCGACTGGGCCGCCATCGCCGACGACACCGGCACGACATCAGTTTCGACCCCGCCGATTCGTACTGCGACTTATGGAGCAATTGCGAAAACGCCACGCACCGCCCCATCCACGCCAAACGACGACGCACGTACCCAGATCCGTCGAGCTCGATGGATGAACCGCGCCGGTAAATGGCAACAGGCCCACCTGTGGAAGGATCGGAACACGTGGTTTTCGCCAGCATCGGGTGGGGTACCCGCCAGCATGGCGTGTTTTAATTGCGGTCAAGGTGGCCATTTCTCACAGCATTGTACAGCGGAGCGACAATCCCCCTCGACCGTCCAAATATCAGCAATTGCCTTCGCCGACATGGACGAGGACGAATGGTCGTCGGCCTCAGGTGACGTTGAGGACCCCCAGGTGCGATTCCCCCTTCCCCTCGAGACTGATTTGACTCGACCGTCGAGTTCCGCATCCGCCTTAGTGACGCACCACTCTTGCCCTCCTGCAGACCTTGTTGGCCGAGTGAAAGACGTTGCCTCTTCTTCTTTTGAAGTTCAGACCTCATCAAGTAGTTCGCATCCAACCGTGCCGGCAAATGATGCAGATCAACATCGTCTCGACGATAGCCTGGCTGACATCGCGATTGACGCGGTGGAAGATGTCTTGTACTACGCTGATGCCGCGTCGCGCTTGTGTCATTATCCGGGGCCGGAAGTGGTGTCGTCTCGCAAGGCGGAAAGGACTGCTTCTGTCAGGAGCACAGCCTGCACTGCCATCAATACTCGAAGGAAGTCTCCCAAGTTTGCGGCCGGAGTCGACATCAGCTACCGGTTTGTTCGTTGCAAGCATTGTCGGCGCGATGGTGTAGTCGTGAGGGCGCGCGGGCGCGCACTCAGTGGTCGAGGGTTCGATCCGCCCGGAGCGTGATCTGCCTTTTGGTTTCTTTTCCTTTTTGTTATCCGAGGCCCGGCTTCGGGGTTTTTACCGGTGCCTTGCAGGCAATCCTTTTTACCCCTGAAGCGACCTCGTGGTGTAGTTATTTGATTCAGTCTTTCCTTCGCTGGGAGCACTTCCCTCCCTTTGCTTTTGCCACCCTTCCCCTAGAGCTTGGTCCACTCATTATCATGACTCGTACCCTCCCTCTTTTTACCCATTTCGCTGGCAATTAAGTCCGTTACACTTGATTTGCTGCGAAGCCTTCCGACCGAATCCACTCCTCGGTTGCTCTCGGTCGACTGCCGCCGCCCAGCCGACTCGACCTTCCCATCGGCCTGGTCAGCTATTTCTTGGATCGTTTGCCCTTCCTCTTTTGTCCGACCTCGTTGGCCACCATAGTCCGGTACACTGGACTTGCTGCGAGCCTTGCAGCCGCGTATCCTCCGCGGTTGCCTCTCGGTCGACTTCCGCCGCCCAGCCGACTCGACCTTCCCACCGGCCTGGTCAGCTATTTCTTGGATCGTTTGCCCTCCCTCTTCTGTCCGACCTCGTGGGCTACCATAGTTCGGTACACTGGACTTGCTGCGAGCCTTGCAGCCGCGTATCCTCCGCGGTTGCCTCTCGGTCGACTGCCGCCGCCTCGGTCGACACCCCTTTCGCTCCTTCGCGCTTTCGCGCGCTCTCTCGCTCTCTCCCTCGTCTCTCGCGTGTAGTCATCGTCATCCCCTCCGACGTTGCCTGTCAGCTTCGGTGAGCTCTTTCCAGATTCTTGTGCCGTCGGGTGTGTCTCTCTTGGCGTCCGCTGCGCCCCTGATCGACATCGACGAACCCGACCGACCTGTCGAGCCCGCCATTGTACGCGCCCGCAACGTCATCGCTTGGACGCTACCTTCTGGAAGGGTTTTGCGATGTTTGATCGACTCTGGATCAGAGGTCGACTTGGTGGATCAGGAGGTGGTGCGAGTCGACCCGAGCTTCGCAACGGCCCGTTTGACTGCACCATTGCACTTGCGCCTCGGCACCCAGGATAAGTCCGACCGATGTGCTGTGTTCGCCACCGCTCCTTTTTCGTCTGGCGCCCTAGATCTCGGTTTGCGACCATTCTTCGTTTGCCGTGTAACGGCGTACGACGCCATCTTGGGGCTGCCATTTCTTAAGGACACAGGCATGCTCGTTGGTTGGGGCGTCTTCACCGTCGCGCGCACCGGCCCTTCGCAACCCGTCGCCCAGGATACGCACGAATGGGACCGAGCCGTCACCGTAGCACCTATCTTATCCAGTTCTGCCATTGGCTGCAATCACCCTGGGTTGCTTCCCGACGACGAGATCATCGGCCTCAAGCCACACAACCCGCTGCTCGATGTCGTCGACGATTTCTCTGAGTCCGAAGCACGAACACGATTGGCTGCCTTACTCGAGAAATTTTCTGATGTGTTCGTAGATTCGCTACCGATGGACCAACTCCCACCGTACCGGCCAGTCAACCACGAGATCCCGTTGATCGATCCCACCGAAAAGGTCAAACCCCGGGTATACCCCCTTGCCGACAAATATCGGAGCCAGTGGGCGGAACACTCAGCTAAGTACACTCGTGGTCAATTCTGGGTTTCGGGTCCGATCGATTCTGCGGCTCCGGTCTTTGCCATTCCGAAGAAGAACTCCCAGACGGCTCGTTTCGTGATCGACCTCCGCGCGCGCAACAGCAACACCGTCAAGCGTTTTTCGCCCATCCCGGACATGACCAATGTGTGAAGAGTCCACTCTCAGCTCGACAGGGGCGCCTCGGTCGTTGCGCGCACTTGCTAGCCCGCCCCCGGCGGTGGGGACTTAGACGCGCGCGACTGCCTCAGCGCGCCAGCGCCGGCGGATTCATGCGCGCGCCCGCTAGCCCGCCCCCTTGCGGTGGGGACTTAGGCGCGCCGGCGATTTCACCCGCGGCTGACTTAGGGATGTACATTGTCACGCGCCTGGGACTATCCCAGCGTGGCCCCCCCCTTTCTGTTTCTTAGCTTCCTTCTCATCACTTCTGTTCGACTCTCAACCTCTCCTGACAGTAGTGGTGAACGTCTCATAGGTACGCTGAAATAGATCACTTCTGTTTGACTCTCAACCTCTCCTGACAGTAGTGGTGAACGTCTCATAGGTTATAAGCCCACGAGCCACCAGCTGGCATGACCACGACACCACCCCTCGCGACGGGTGCCAACCCTCCGATTCCCGCCGAACAGCTCGCCGCACTTACATCGCTGCTGTCGGGTCTCACCGCTGCCGCTTCCGGCACTGCCACACCCGCCACGACGTCCGGCACCACTCGCACTGCCTTTCCAAAGCACGCACGCTTGGATGGTGCGAAGACCTTCGCGAACTGGACACGCCAACTTCGCCTGTGCCTAGCGGACGACATCCGCTCGTACGTCCTCGACGGTATCGCACCCGACGACTGGACACCTTCGCAACGCTCCGCTCGCGACGCCGTCGCTCGTGAGGTCCTTGCGAATTCGATTGACTCGGCCGAAGTCTCGGCAGTCCTCGACAAAATCCCTACCGCCGACCTGACAGCGCCGACAATCTACTCGACGCTGAAATCGCGGTACGCCCCTGACGACGCCACCCGCACGCTCGAGCTCTTCTCACGACTCTGGGGTTTCCGTCCCATGCCCGGCACGGTTGCCGAATTCGACGGGTGGATCATGGACTTCAAAGCCGTTGCGCAAGAGATCATCGACACAAAGACAACTATCAATGATGTTCTCGCCACACTCCTCCTTGCAATCGCCCACCCGTCCCTCGAGAGCTTCAAGGCGTCGTTCACCGATGAACAGCGCACGCAACGAACTCTCCCCGACATTGATTCGCTTGCCGACCGTATGCGAGTCCAACTTCGGTCAACGAACATCCCCAGCACTCAATCGGCCCTTCTTGCCTCGTCGTCGTCACGTTCTACTCGTCTCAAGTGTCTCGCCTGTCGCAGCCCTTCGCACCGAGTCGCGGAGTGCCCTACGAGGGCGCAACACCCGCCGCCAGGACCCTGTCGCTCCTGCAAGAAGAAGGATCACTGGTCTCTCGACTGCAAGAAGGCGCTCGAGGACGGCAAAAAGCCCGACACCGCTGACTCGACCGTCGACTCGCAACACCATGTCGGATGTCTCGCCACCGGTCTTCTCGCTCGTCGTCGCCAGCTTCGCAACCACTCTTTTGTCGTCGACTCGGGCGCCACTTCGCACATGGTCTCGGACAAGTCGCTGTTCACGACCTATCGCCATATCGCTCCTACGAAGATTGGTGGTATTGCAGGGGGCATCAACGCCATCGGAACGGGAAACATCGCCTTCATTGCCGCCTCGGGTCATCCGATCACGCTTACCGGCGTGCTGCACACTCCGGGCCTGTTTGTCAATCTTCTCTCGGTCTCTCGACTTTGCGACACCGACGATGTCCGTGTCGCCTTCACAAAACACGGCATCCACATTGACAAGGACGGCAACGACATCGCTGAAGGCGCACGACTCGACGAAGGGCTCTACTTGCTGGACGCTGATCATTCCAAATGTCAGCACCTTGCTCTCCTTTCTCGCTCACAGTCGTCCGTGCCCCTGCTGACTCTCCATCGCTGCCTCGGCCATCTCGCACCTGTGAAGAGTCCACTCTCAGCTCGACAGGGGCGCCTCGGTCGTTGCGCGCACTTGCTAGCCCGCCCCCGGCGGTGGGGACTTAGACGCGCGCGACTGCCTCAGCGCGCCAGCGCCGGCGGATTCATGCGCGCGCCCGCTAGCCCGCCCCCTTGCGGTGGGGACTTAGGCGCGCCGGCGATTTCACCCGCGGCTGACTTAGGGATGTACATTGTCACGCGCCTGGGACTATCCCAGCGTGGCCCCCCCCTTTCTGTTTCTTAGCTTCCTTCTCATCACTTCTGTTCGACTCTCAACCTCTCCTGACAGTAGTGGTGAACGTCTCATAGGTACGCTGAAATAGATCACTTCTGTTCGACTCTCAACCTCTCCTGACAGTAGTGGTGAACGTCTCATAGGTTATAAGCCCACGAGCCACCAGCTGGCATGACCACGACACCACCCCTCGCGACGGGTGCCAACCCTCCGATTCCCGCCGAACAGCTCGCCGCACTTACATCGCTGCTGTCGGGTCTCACCGCTGCCGCTTCCGGCACTGCCACACCCGCCACGACGTCCGGCACCACTCGCACTGCCTTTCCAAAGCACGCACGCTTGGATGGTGCGAAGACCTTCGCGAACTGGACACGCCAACTTCGCCTGTGCCTAGCGGACGACATCCGCTCGTACGTCCTCGACGGTATCGCACCCGACGACTGGACACCTTCGCAACGCTCCGCTCGCGACGCCGTCGCTCGTGAGGTCCTTGCGAATTCGATTGACTCGGCCGAAGTCTCGGCAGTCCTCGACAAAATCCCTACCGCCGACCTGACAGCGCCGACAATCTACTCGACGCTGAAATCGCGGTACGCCCCTGACGACGCCACCCGCACGCTCGAGCTCTTCTCACGACTCTGGGGTTTCCGTCCCATGCCCGGCACGGTTGCCGAATTCGACGGGTGGATCATGGACTTCAAAGCCGTTGCGCAAGAGATCATCGACACAAAGACAACTATCAATGATGTTCTCGCCACACTCCTCCTTGCAATCGCCCACCCGTCCCTCGAGAGCTTCAAGGCGTCGTTCACCGATGAACAGCGCACGCAACGAACTCTCCCCGACATTGATTCGCTTGCCGACCGTATGCGAGTCCAACTTCGGTCAACGAACATCCCCAGCACTCAATCGGCCCTTCTTGCCTCGTCGTCGTCACGTTCTACTCGTCTCAAGTGTCTCGCCTGTCGCAGCCCTTCGCACCGAGTCGCGGAGTGCCCTACGAGGGCGCAACACCCGCCGCCAGGACCCTGTCGCTCCTGCAAGAAGAAGGATCACTGGTCTCTCGACTGCAAGAAGGCGCTCGAGGACGGCAAAAAGCCCGACACCGCTGACTCGACCGTCGACTCGCAACACCATGTCGGATGTCTCGCCACCGGTCTTCTCGCTCGTCGTCGCCAGCTTCGCAACCACTCTTTTGTCGTCGACTCGGGCGCCACTTCGCACATGGTCTCGGACAAGTCGCTGTTCACGACCTATCGCCATATCGCTCCTACGAAGATTGGTGGTATTGCAGGGGGCATCAACGCCATCGGAACGGGAAACATCGCCTTCATTGCCGCCTCGGGTCATCCGATCACGCTTACCGGCGTGCTGCACACTCCGGGCCTGTTTGTCAATCTTCTCTCGGTCTCTCGACTTTGCGACACCGACGATGTCCGTGTCGCCTTCACAAAACACGGCATCCACATTGACAAGGACGGCAACGACATCGCTGAAGGCGCACGACTCGACGAAGGGCTCTACTTGCTGGACGCTGATCATTCCAAATGTCAGCACCTTGCTCTCCTTTCTCGCTCACAGTCGTCCGTGCCCCTGCTGACTCTCCATCGCTGCCTCGGCCATCTCGCACCGTCCTCCATACAGAAGATGGTTGCCGCTGGTTTGCTGGAGGGTCTCAGGGCCGGATATAGTGACGAAGAGGTAGAGAAGTTTGTCTGCAATGCTTGCCTCAGCGCAAAGGGCCATCGTCTTCCCTTTCCCGATTCGGATTCGCACTCCTCAGAGAGACTCGGCCTTGTACACAGCGATGTGCTTTCCTTCCCCGAGCGGTCCTTGACTGGCAAACGTTACCTGGTCACATTCCTTGACGATTACTCGCGCAAACTCTGGGCCTACGCAATCGGACACAAAAGCGAAGTCTTCGGCATATTCAAAACTTGGCTAGCCGAGGTTGAACTCGAGACGGGTGCGACGCTGAAGGTCCTCCGAACCGACAACGGTGGCGAATACTGTTCGAGAGCGTTCACAGAGTTCTGCAAGACACGAGGCACCCGTCGACAATACTCTATCCCACGCACGCCTCAACAGAACGGTCGTGCAGAGCGGGTCAATCGTTCCATTGTCGAAGGCGTCCTTGCCCTCCTTGTCGACGCCCACCTACCCAAGACATTCTGGGAGGAGGCTGCAGCTTATTTCGTTTACTGCAAGAACCTGTGTCAACACGCGGCCCTGGACAAGGCAACACCAAACTCCGTCTGGCAGGGTGACCACACCACTGCCTCGGCGCTTCACCCGTTCGGCTGTACAGCTTGGCTTACGGTCGCGCCCGAACTTCGCTCCAAACTCGACCCGAAGGCGGTTCGCGTTTTTTTCACCGGCTACGACCTGGCTTCAAAAGCCTTTCGCTTCTACGACACTACAACACAGAAGATTATACTTGGCAGAAATGCCACGTTCCTCGACACTGAATTCCCCGGATTACATGGCGACCCCACTGAGCAAGACGGCGACACGCACTTCGCCAGCGCTCCCACCACCGAATCTCAAACCGTTGTCAAGACATGGACCCCACTAGTAAGGTCGGCGCACATGGACGTCTCATCCCCCCTTGATGATTCTGCCATGAGCGCCGTTGACGTGGCCCCAGGGTACACTGGCGGAACCTTACTTAACTTCACAGATGCCGAATCGTCCTCGTCACCGTCGCCTGCGTCGCCCTCATCACCGTCGTCTGCGCCATCGCCTGCACTTTCACCATCGTCGGCTGCGTCATCGTCACCCTCGGCCTTACCGACCGACTCTGAAGACTCCGCCGATCCCCTCGACCTCCTCGGCTCACAGCCCCAGGTTCGCCTCGATCTACAGGACGTGCACCACCCAGACTTCAGCACGTACCGCGAGCCCGCATCGGCTGAGGAGTCGCCCGACGAACTCGACCTCATTGGGCGCCACTCTCGCGACGAATCTCCGGACGAAATCGATTTCCTCACCCGACACCACCGCGCCTTCATCGCCATCGACGACGACACCTCTGACACAGAGGCAATTCAGCCAGTCAAGTCCATCACGAGCGACCCACAGACCTGGCGCGAGGCGATGTCTAGCGACAAGCGTGAAGTATGGGCCAAAGCCGCCACCGACGAGTTCACCTCCATGCGCGACGACTTCAAGGTCTTCACCATCGAGGACCGAGCCACGGTGCCCGCGGGTGCGACTATCGTTACATCCAAGTTCGTCTGGAAAACGAAACGGAACGCACTCGGCGAAGTCACTGGACACAAGGCAAGGCTGGTCGCGCAAGGCAATCGGCAACGCGACGGCATCGACTTCAACGAAACGTTCGCACCGGTCGCACGCTTCTCCTCGATACGCTCACTCCTCGCGCTGGCGGCCGCCAACGGCTTGCACGTGCACCAGGCGGACATCGACAAAGCATATCTGCATGGCGACCTTGACCACGACATCTGGATGACGGCACCGCGCGGCTTCGACCTTCCCAGCGACAAGGTGCTTCGCCTGCGACGCTCCATCTACGGGCTCAAACAGGCTGGCCGAATCTGGAATCGACACATCGACGCTTCGCTTCGGGCCCTCGGTTACACGGCGACGGGCACCGACCACTGCGTATACTCTTGGCTCGATGATCGTCAATGTCCACACTACATCGCACTGTACGTCGACGACCTCCTGATGATCAGCCCGGAACTGGCCGAAATCGAACGTGTCATCTCAGGCCTGGACCAACGCTACGGAGTCAAGCGCCTCGGCCCGGCCGAGTATATCCTCGGCATCCAGATCAGGCGGTTCGACGACGGCTCTATCGCCCTATCCCAGGAACGGTACATCATGGACGTGCTCGCTCGGTTCCACTTCGACACCACGACTCGCGGCACTACAGTTCCGATGACTCCCGGCCTTTCGCTCACTGCTATCCCGGGTCAAGGCACCGAACGGATCAGGTCATGGTATCTGCAGGCTATCGGCTCGCTCCTCTACATTTCGCTCGGTACCCGCCCTGACATCGCCTTCGCCGTGTCCTACCTGGCCCGCTTCGCCAACAACCCCGGTCGTCGTCATTGGATTGCGGTCAAGCACATCCTACGCTATCTCCGGGCCACGTATCGCAACGAACTCGTGTATGCTCGCGGCCAGGCTCGCATCACGGGTGTGGTAGGCTACTCCGACGCGAACTGGGGGGCCTGCATCGACACATCGGTGTCCACCATGGGCTACGTCTTCTACATCGCTGGCTCGGCCGTGTCCTGGTCGTCCAAACGCCAGTCTCGAGTTGCCGATTCGACCACCGACGCTGAATACCTCGCCCTCTCGCATGCTGGCAAGGAAGGGATTTACCTCAGTCAGCTGCTCGAAGAGCTCCATGTACAACCTGTTGCACCGGCTCACATCTTTACTGACAACGAAGCCGCTGCTGCAGTTGCTCACGATCCTGTCCGCGTCTCTGGCACTCGGCACATACGCTTGCGTGAGCACTTCGTTCGGGACATGGTGAATCGGGGCGACATCTCTCTCTCGCATGTGGGTACCAGCGACATGGTGGCCGACATCTTCACCAAGGCTCTCGGCCCAAAGGTCTTCTCAACGCACTGCTACGCCCTCGGCCTTCGCACTCGACACCCGCGGCTTGGGTCTGCCTCGCATTCGCGTGGGGGGGGGGTGTGAAGAGTCCACTCTCAGCTCGACAGGGGCGCCTCGGTCGTTGCGCGCACTTGCTAGCCCGCCCCCGGCGGTGGGGACTTAGACGCGCGCGACTGCCTCAGCGCGCCAGCGCCGGCGGATTCATGCGCGCGCCCGCTAGCCCGCCCCCTTGCGGTGGGGACTTAGGCGCGCCGGCGATTTCACCCGCGGCTGACTTAGGGATGTACATTGTCACGCGCCTGGGACTATCCCAGCGTGGCCCCCCCCTTTCTGTTTCTTAGCTTCCTTCTCATCACTTCTGTTCGACTCTCAACCTCTCCTGACAGTAGTGGTGAACGTCTCATAGGTACGCTGAAATAGATCACTTCTGTTCGACTCTCAACCTCTCCTGACAGTAGTGGTGAACGTCTCATAGCACCGTCCTCCATACAGAAGATGGTTGCCGCTGGTTTGCTGGAGGGTCTCAGGGCCGGATATAGTGACGAAGAGGTAGAGAAGTTTGTCTGCAATGCTTGCCTCAGCGCAAAGGGCCATCGTCTTCCCTTTCCCGATTCGGATTCGCACTCCTCAGAGAGACTCGGCCTTGTACACAGCGATGTGCTTTCCTTCCCCGAGCGGTCCTTGACTGGCAAACGTTACCTGGTCACATTCCTTGACGATTACTCGCGCAAACTCTGGGCCTACGCAATCGGACACAAAAGCGAAGTCTTCGGCATATTCAAAACTTGGCTAGCCGAGGTTGAACTCGAGACGGGTGCGACGCTGAAGGTCCTCCGAACCGACAACGGTGGCGAATACTGTTCGAGAGCGTTCACAGAGTTCTGCAAGACACGAGGCACCCGTCGACAATACTCTATCCCACGCACGCCTCAACAGAACGGTCGTGCAGAGCGGGTCAATCGTTCCATTGTCGAAGGCGTCCTTGCCCTCCTTGTCGACGCCCACCTACCCAAGACATTCTGGGAGGAGGCTGCAGCTTATTTCGTTTACTGCAAGAACCTGTGTCAACACGCGGCCCTGGACAAGGCAACACCAAACTCCGTCTGGCAGGGTGACCACACCACTGCCTCGGCGCTTCACCCGTTCGGCTGTACAGCTTGGCTTACGGTCGCGCCCGAACTTCGCTCCAAACTCGACCCGAAGGCGGTTCGCGTTTTTTTCACCGGCTACGACCTGGCTTCAAAAGCCTTTCGCTTCTACGACACTACAACACAGAAGATTATACTTGGCAGAAATGCCACGTTCCTCGACACTGAATTCCCCGGATTACATGGCGACCCCACTGAGCAAGACGGCGACACGCACTTCGCCAGCGCTCCCACCACCGAATCTCAAACCGTTGTCAAGACATGGACCCCACTAGTAAGGTCGGCGCACATGGACGTCTCATCCCCCCTTGATGATTCTGCCATGAGCGCCGTTGACGTGGCCCCAGGGTACACTGGCGGAACCTTACTTAACTTCACAGATGCCGAATCGTCCTCGTCACCGTCGCCTGCGTCGCCCTCATCACCGTCGTCTGCGCCATCGCCTGCACTTTCACCATCGTCGGCTGCGTCATCGTCACCCTCGGCCTTACCGACCGACTCTGAAGACTCCGCCGATCCCCTCGACCTCCTCGGCTCACAGCCCCAGGTTCGCCTCGATCTACAGGACGTGCACCACCCAGACTTCAGCACGTACCGCGAGCCCGCATCGGCTGAGGAGTCGCCCGACGAACTCGACCTCATTGGGCGCCACTCTCGCGACGAATCTCCGGACGAAATCGATTTCCTCACCCGACACCACCGCGCCTTCATCGCCATCGACGACGACACCTCTGACACAGAGGCAATTCAGCCAGTCAAGTCCATCACGAGCGACCCACAGACCTGGCGCGAGGCGATGTCTAGCGACAAGCGTGAAGTATGGGCCAAAGCCGCCACCGACGAGTTCACCTCCATGCGCGACGACTTCAAGGTCTTCACCATCGAGGACCGAGCCACGGTGCCCGCGGGTGCGACTATCGTTACATCCAAGTTCGTCTGGAAAACGAAACGGAACGCACTCGGCGAAGTCACTGGACACAAGGCAAGGCTGGTCGCGCAAGGCAATCGGCAACGCGACGGCATCGACTTCAACGAAACGTTCGCACCGGTCGCACGCTTCTCCTCGATACGCTCACTCCTCGCGCTGGCGGCCGCCAACGGCTTGCACGTGCACCAGGCGGACATCGACAAAGCATATCTGCATGGCGACCTTGACCACGACATCTGGATGACGGCACCGCGCGGCTTCGACCTTCCCAGCGACAAGGTGCTTCGCCTGCGACGCTCCATCTACGGGCTCAAACAGGCTGGCCGAATCTGGAATCGACACATCGACGCTTCGCTTCGGGCCCTCGGTTACACGGCGACGGGCACCGACCACTGCGTATACTCTTGGCTCGATGATCGTCAATGTCCACACTACATCGCACTGTACGTCGACGACCTCCTGATGATCAGCCCGGAACTGGCCGAAATCGAACGTGTCATCTCAGGCCTGGACCAACGCTACGGAGTCAAGCGCCTCGGCCCGGCCGAGTATATCCTCGGCATCCAGATCAGGCGGTTCGACGACGGCTCTATCGCCCTATCCCAGGAACGGTACATCATGGACGTGCTCGCTCGGTTCCACTTCGACACCACGACTCGCGGCACTACAGTTCCGATGACTCCCGGCCTTTCGCTCACTGCTATCCCGGGTCAAGGCACCGAACGGATCAGGTCATGGTATCTGCAGGCTATCGGCTCGCTCCTCTACATTTCGCTCGGTACCCGCCCTGACATCGCCTTCGCCGTGTCCTACCTGGCCCGCTTCGCCAACAACCCCGGTCGTCGTCATTGGATTGCGGTCAAGCACATCCTACGCTATCTCCGGGCCACGTATCGCAACGAACTCGTGTATGCTCGCGGCCAGGCTCGCATCACGGGTGTGGTAGGCTACTCCGACGCGAACTGGGGGGCCTGCATCGACACATCGGTGTCCACCATGGGCTACGTCTTCTACATCGCTGGCTCGGCCGTGTCCTGGTCGTCCAAACGCCAGTCTCGAGTTGCCGATTCGTGTGAGGAATCCACTCTCCGCTCGGCTCAGGACTTAGGCGCGCGGAGCGAACCGGGCGCGGACTTAGGCGCGCGGAGTGAGCCGGGCGCCCCGGCCCAGGACTTAGGCGCGCGAAGCGAGCCTGGGACTTAGGCGCGCGGAGCGAGCCTGGGCCATTGGCTCAGCCCCAGGCTCGCTGGCTGTGGACTTGGGGCGCGCGGGTCTCTTATTGTTAGCTTCCTATTCATCACTCTTGGCTATAACTACATCGCTGACGTAGTAGAGTTGATCGAATAGGTATGTTGAAATGCATTCATCACTCTTGGCTATAACTACATCGCTGACGTAGTAGAGTTGATCGAACAGGTTATAAGCCCACGAGCTACCAGCCCCGCCGCTTGAGGCTTTTTCGCTCGAGCCCAGCCACTCGAGCCGCACACGTCCATCGCACCATCACATCATGGACAGCTCTCCCGCCTCGCCTTTGGCCCCCAGGGATCCCAGCTCCCCTGAATCTTCGATCGGCGAACAAATCGCCACTCTACAGGCCCAGCTTGCCGCTCTGCAGGCCTCGCAACCCGCCGCCGCCGCAGCCGCCGCACCCCCGGCCGTCACCGTCGTGCCGGGGAACGCCGCCACCGCATCCAAGGTCGTGTTTCCCAAGCACGCTCGTCTGGACGGCCCCAAGTCGTTCACCAACTGGTTGCGTCAACTCCGTCTTGCACTCCCGAACCAGGTTCGTGGTTACGTTCTCGACGGTGTCGTTCCCCCGACCTGGACCGCCGACCAGCTTGCCGCACGTGACGACGCCGCCCGGGAAATCATCGTTGGCTCTATCGACTCCGCCGACGTATCGGCCACCCTCGACGCCATCCCCAGCGACGACCTGTCGGCACCGCGCATCTTTGCCGCTCTCAAGGCTCGTTTTGCACCGGACGACGCTACACGCACTCTCGAGTTGTTCGCTCGCCTTTGGGACTTCAGGAAGATGCCTGCCTCCGTCGAGGCCTACGACACTTGGCTACGCGAGTACATGTCGATTGCTCAGGAAATACGCGACGCCAAAACATCGCTCAACGACGTGCTCGCCACCCACGTGCTCGCCATGGTCCCGTCTTGCCTCGACAGCTTCCGACTCACGTTCACGGACGAGCAGCGAAACCGACGCGACCTTCCCGAACTCACGACGCTTACGGACCGCATTCGCATCCAGCTTCGTTCGGCAGGACTCTCGACCTCGCATTCGGCCATGCTTGCCACCAGCTCCCCCTGCCCCGCCTGCCGCGCTCCCGGTCACCGCCTGCGCGACTGCACTTCACGTGCGAAGCACCCGCCCACCGGCCCCTGCCGCCGATGCCACAAGAAAGGTCACTGGGCACTCGACTGCAAGAACCGGGGTGAACAGGCACGTAGCAGCGACGACACCCAGGACGACACGTCTTCCTCCGCGGCCTCGCAACCGAACGTCGGCTATTTCGCCTCCTGCCTCTTCGCTCGTCGCCAACTCCCAACTGACGCCTTTGTAGTCGATTCGGGTGCCACGACACACATGGTCGCCGACCGATCTCTATTCACGACTTATCGTCAGACGGCACACACCAAGATCGGCGGCATCGCGGGCGGCATCACGGCTATCGGCATGGGGGACGTGGCATTCGTCGCCAAGACTGGACACCCGATCACGCTCCGTGGTGTTCTTCACACGCCTGGCCTACACGTCAACCTCCTCTCTGTCTCTCGCCTCTGCGACACCGACCGCGTTCGTCTCGCCTTCACCAGCGACGGCATCGACATCGCCAAGGACGGCCGGGCCATTGCTCACGGTACCAGGGTCAACGACGGTCTTTACCTTTTGGACGCGGATCACACCAAGTGTCAGCATCTTGCCTTCCTCTCACGCTCTGAGTCTCCCGTGCCCCTGCTTACCCTACACCGCTGCCTCGGCCATCTTGCCCCATCCTCTATACAGAAGATGATTGCTGCAGGTTTGCTGGACGGGTTTGGGGCCGGGTACAGTGACAAAGACGTAGAGGAGTTTGTTTGCAATGCTTGCCTTGGTTCCAAAGGTCACCGCCTTCCCTTTCCCGACTCTGAGTCGCATTCCGCCGAGAGACTTGGCCTCGTGCACAGCGACGTCCTGTCGTTCCCCACTCCGTCCTTGACCGGGAAGCGCTACCTTGTCACGTTTCTAGACGACCACTCTCGCAAACTCTGGGCATATGCGATCGATCACAAAAGCGATGTTTTCCCGACCTTCCAGACTTGGCTCGCCGAAGTGGAGTTAGAGACGAACGCGCGGTTGAGGATCCTTCGAACCGACAATGGCGGGGAGTATGAGATGATCACCACTACTGTCAGGAGAAGTCGAGAGTCGAACAGAAGTGATCTATTTCAGCGTACCTATGAGATGATCACCACTACTGTCAGGAGAAGTCGAGAGTCGAACAGAAGTGATGAGAAGGAAGCTAAGAAATGGAAAGGTGGCCCGCGCTGGGATATGCCCAGGCGCGGGCGAAATCGCTGGAGCGCTGAGGCAGTCGCGCGCGGCTAAGTCCCCACTGCAAGGGCGGGCTAGCGGCGCGCGCCCGAAAACCGCCGGCGCCGGCGCGCTGAGGCACTCGCGCGCGCCTAAGTCCCCACCACAGGGGCCAGGCTAGCAGGCGCGCGCAACGACCGAGGCGCCCCTGTCGAGCTGAGAGTGGACTCTTCACACCCCCCCCACGCGAATGCGAGGCAGATCCAAGCCGTGGGTGTCGAGTGCGAAGGCCTAGTGCGTAGCAGTGTGTCGAGAAAATCTTTGGGCCAAGAGCCTTTGTGAAGATGTCGGCCACCATGTTGCTGGTTCCCACATGCGAGAGTGAGATATCGCCCCGATTCACCATGTCCCGAACAAAGTGCTCGCGCAAGCGTATGTGTCGAGTGCCGGAGACGCGGACAGGGTCGTGGGCAACTGCGGCAGCGGCTTCATTGTCAGTAAAAATGTGAGCCGGTGCAACAGGTTGGACATGGAGCTCCTCGAGCAGCTGACTGAGGTAGATCCCTTCCTTGCCAGCATGCGAGAGGGCGAGGTATTCAGCGTCGGTGGTAGAATCGGCAACTCGAGATTGACGCTTGGACGACCAAGACACGGCGGATCCGGCAATGTAGAAGACGTAGCCCATAGTGGACACCGACGTATCGACGCAGGCCCCCCAGTTCGCGTCGGAGTAGCCAACCACGCCCGTGATGCGTGTCTCGCCGCAAGCATAAACCAGTTCGTCGCGATATGTGGCCCGGAGATAGCGGAGGATGTGCTTGACCGCGATCCAGTGACGACGTCCAGGGTTGTTGGCGAAGCGGGCCAGGTAGGACACGGCGAAGGCGATGTCGGGGCGGGTGCCGAGCGAAATGTAGAGGAGCGAGCCGATAGCCTGCAGATACCATGACCTGATCCGTTCGGTGCCTTGACCCGGGATGGCGGTGAGCGAAAGGCCGGGGGTCATCGGGACTGTAGTGCCGCGAGTCGTGGTGTCGAAGTGGAACCGAGCAAGCACGTCCATGATGTACCGTTCCTGGGACAGGGCAATAGAACCGTCTTCGAGTCGCCTGATCTGGATGCCGAGGATGTACTCTGCCGGGCCGAGGCGCTTGACGCCGTAGCGTTGTTCGAGGCCCGAGATGACACGTTCAATTTCGGCCAAGTCGGGGCTGATCATCAGGAGGTCGTCGACGTACAGCGCGATGTAGTGTGGGCGTCGCCGATCGTCGATCCGAGAGTACACGCAGTGGTCGGTGCCCGTCGCCGTATAGCCGAGATCTCGAAGCGATGCGTCGATGTGTCGATTCCAGATTCGGCCAGCCTGTTTGAGTCCGTAGATGGAGCGTCGCAGACGAAGCACCTTGTCGGTGGGAAGGTCGAAGCCGCGCGGTGTCGTCATCCAGATGTCATGGTCAAGGTCGCCATGCAGATAGGCTTTGTCGATGTCCGCCTGGTGCACGTGCAAGCCGTTGGCGGCCGCCAGCGCGAGGAGTGAGCGTATCGAGGAGAAGCGTGCGACTGGTGCGAAGGTTTCGTTGAAGTCGATGCCGTCGCGTTGCCGATTTCCCTGCGCCACGAGCCGTGCCTTGTGGCCGTGACTTCGCCGAGTGCATTCCGTTTCGTTTTCCAGACGAACTTGGATGTGACGATGGTCGCACCCGCTGGTACCGTGGATCGGTCCTCGATGGTGAAGACCTTGAAGTCGTCGCGCATGGAATTGAACTCGTCGGTAGCGGCCTTGGCCCACACTTCGCGCTTGTCACTCGACATTGCCTCGCGCCATGTCTGTGGGTCGCTGGTGATGGACTTGACTGGTTGAATGGCTTCTGTGTCAGAGTTGTCGTCGTCGGTGGCGATGAAGGCGCGGTGGTGTTGGGTGAGGAAATCGATTTCGTCCGGCGATTCATCGCGCGAGTGGCGCCCAATGATGTCGAGTTCGTCGGGCGACTCCTCAGCCGATGCGGGCTCACGGTACGTGCTGAAGTCTGGGCGGTGCACGTCCGGTGGGCCGAGGCGAGTCGGGGTCTGTGAGCCGATGAGGTCCAGAGGGTCGGCGGAGTAGTCAGAGTCGGTCGGTAAGGCCGAGGGTGACGATGACGCAGCCAACGACGGTGACAGCGCAGGCGACGGTGACAAGGGAGTTGCGGGCGACGGTGACGAGGACGGCTCAGGAGACGGTGACGAGGACGATTCGGCATCTGTGGAATTAAGTAAGGTTCCGCCAGTGTACCCTGGGGCCACGTCAACGGCGCTCATGGCAGAGTCATCAAGAGAGGATGAGACGTCCATGTGCGCCGACCTTACTAGTGGGGTCCATGTCTTGACAACGGCTTGGGATTCGGTGGTCGGGCAAGCGCTGGCGAAGTGCGTGTCGGCGTCTTGCTCGGTGGAGTCGCTACGTAACCCGGGAAATTCGTTGTCGAGGAACCTGGCATTTCTGCCCAAACTGATCTTCTTGGTCGTCGTGTCGTAGAAACGGAAGGCTTTAGAAGCCAGGTCATAGCCGGTGAAGAGAACGCGAACCGCTTTCGGGTCGAGTTTCGAGCGAAGTTCAGGCGCGACTGTGAGCCAAGCCGTGCAGCCGAACGGGTGAAGCGCCGAGGCGTTGGTGCGGTCGCCCTGCCAGGCGAAGTTC